GTAGGGCTGTTTTCAGGCCATGGTAGGCACTTCACACTTTACTCTGAGACAGAAAGGCACTGGACATTTTGAGAAGAGGTTAAACATCATCTGACATGTTTATAAAAACTTATTCTTGCTGTAGTGTGGAAAATGTGAAGACACAGGGGCAGAAGCAGCCTTATGGCTTACTCCTAGTCCACCCCCCCCCAACTAAACATTACCACTGTTATCAGCTACTATTTCCTGAAATCATACAAGTATGTGACAGGCAGACCTTCCTCATATAATGCTCAAAATTGCAAAGTAGGTATCAAAAATGAGGGGGAGTGAGCATTCTAGTCTAGCAGTTAGGACACTCTCACTGGAGTACCTGGGTTCAGTTCCTAGTTCTGGCTCCTGATTCTGCTTCCTGCTAAAGCAGACAACGGAAGGCAGCAGGTGATGGCTTTGGTAGTTGGGTCCACTTGGGAGACCTGTATTGAATTCCAGGCCATCAGATTCAGCTGCCCAGCTTGGCCACTGTGGGCATTTGTGGGCATCTCCTATGAAAATTAAGTTGGGGAAAAGATTCAAGCATGTTCAAATCACTTGTCCACAATGAATGGCTAATGATGAAAATCAAAAAATCGGCCTGATGCATCACATACCACAACACACAACACAGCCCTCTGATTCAATAAATTCTGCATCAGATCTTTTCACTGCTCAGGACTTTGCATCTATTAATTCCTAACTAGAATACTCTTCTACTGAATTTCAAATTTCATTGGTAATGAACTTCAGTACACTATTCTAGATCAACTCAAGTAGCAAGTCTTGAGTGAAATCTTTCTGGATTTTTCTCAGGCTCCTTAGCTGATCCATCTTCTGTGCTTCTGTCAATGTCCCATCTTCATTTCTCTGAAACAATACTTACATGTATGGATTATGCCTGTGTGTGTGTGTGTGTGTGTATGTACTTATACACATTTTCCCATCACTTCATTCCTTACAATAGAATCAAGCCAACTTATTTATCATCACCTCTCCTTCTACATCTCCCTCCACTCCTTTCCTCTCATCTGGCACACTACCAAGAGCCAAACCTAAGTTGAATCAAATAATAAATTAAATAATCAACCTCTATAATTTCCCCATTCTACTCTATATATACCTTGGCCATCTGCTGTCACATTTAAAACTAAATCAAAAACATTAAGAGCTGGTAGGTTCTAAACATAAAGATAAGGACATGGCAATACTAATTTGCCTGTTTTGATCAGTTTGTATGCATGTGCTGAAATATTGTATGATATCCTATTAAAATATACATGCATCACATGCTAATCAAAAAATGTTAAAAAAAAAAAAAAAGGAAGGAAAGCCAGTAAAAGGTCTCCAAATACTTAAAATCCACTTGAACTGTTTTTCAAATAAATCAATATCGTCAAAATAAAAATAGAAAGCTGGAAAGCATCAAGAAAATAATAAACAAAATTGTCCCAGCAAATAATGCAGAAACTAGGAACACTTAGCCTGAAGGATGGACCATTATCTTCCTGGTTAAGAAAACTGAGTATGTAAGATTTCCTTGAAAAGCAAAATTAAGAACAACACATGGAAGACATATTCTTTCATGGAAAAGCAAGTTGTGATTAAGTGAATCAAGAATATGCTAGGAAACAAAGCACTCCAATTGCAGGGAATTTTCTACTTCCAGAAATAAGGCAATCCTGATGCAAACTAATGAAAGAACATTCTATACCTCTGATATTTTGATAGAGTATCCCATTCATATACTTACTGAATACTTAGAGTAGTCCCACATTTCTAGTTCATGAACTATTTTCTTTTATGAAGCTTTCATTATTTTTGAAATACCATTATTGGTTGCAGGTTTCTCATTGTTTTTGTTTTCTGTATAACCTGACATCTTTGCCACCTTACCTATACACCCACATTTCTTGCTTGTGGCAAGCTATGGATTGCACAAGAGGGATGGCAGACTGGCAACATGCTTTTATACCTTGTGATGTTTTTGCCCATCAAAACCTTCCTAGAACCTAATCAACTTCTGCACTAATTATCAATTCCTTATCCTTCAGGTCCAAATTCACCGTGAAGGGTTTGTCCTGCTTTCTGATAGTTACACCATGAGTAACATGTGTGGGTATGAACACATCTGGTAGTGCTCTGCCCCACATTCCCAAAATATACTGCTCTCTTTAGTGACTTGGCTATTGGTCACCTCCCTGACTCTCCCAACATAGACCCCTCATGTTAAAGGGGTTCTGCCAGCACTGGCATCCCACCCCTGCCCTCTGCATGTTCAGTCACCACTAGCAGCTTCCCTTTACCATGGAGAGTGGCTTCCTACTTGCCTGGTGACTAAAGAGCAGCTCTGTGGGCAAACTAGTAACTTTGCCATCCAGTGAACTGTAGCCCTCTCCTTCAACAAGGTCTGAACCCAAAGATAAGCCCCATCTCTTCCAAGTTTGTCCTTCCCTAGATACTCTCCCTTAACTCTAGAGTACCACATATAGTTCCCTTACATATTCTGTCATGCCTTAAAACTTTTTTTAATATTAAACTTCCATTTTCTAAAATCACTGGGTAGTTTGTTTCTAAATTAGGCTCAAATTAGTACAGTTGCCACCAAACCAGGTCAAAGAAGCAAGACAATACAAAGCCAGTGCAATGGTCTGAATGGGTCCCCCAAAATACATGTGCTGAAAAATTAATGCAACAATATTAGGAGGTGGGAGGTATTTAGGTGACTGAGACCTCTACCCTCATAAGTAGATTAATGCACCCATCTGTCATGTGAGGACACAAGGCTCCTCCCCTCTGGAGGATATAGCATCAAGAAGCCATTTTGACGCAAAGCAGCTCTCACCAGACACCTGAGCTTGCTGGGACCTTAACACTGGATTTCCCAGCCTTCAAAAGTGAGAAAAAATTTTTTGCTCCTTATCAGTTATCAAGTCTTAGGTATTATATTGTAGCAGCACAAATGGAATCAGCCAGTGAGATTTTCCTAGATTTAGTTCTAGATCTGTAAAATGGCTTATATTATCTGATAGACTGTAAAACACTGAAAAATTCAGAAATCCTAGAGTTTTGATGGCTCAAGGTATCAGAAAACTGCATCATCCTCAATACTTAAAATTACTGATCTAATCAAATGAATAACAGCAAAAAGGAAATAACTCTCCCCAATCTGAATTTACCTCATTTCAAAACAGATTTGCAGGGAATGGGGGACAGATGAATGAACAGCACGGGATTTTTCAGTTGGTAAAAGTACACATGGAGATCCACGTCATCTCTACATTTGTTCAAGTCCACTGGAGATACATGACCAAGACTGAACCCTATTTGGGGTGATGATGATGTGTCAGTCCAGTTTCCTCCATTTTAATAAATCTAAGATTCTGGTGACAAATGTTGAAAACAGGGGAGGCTGAGAGTGTGGGAGCAGGAAGCATATGGGAAATCTCTGTTAACTCCTCTTGATTTTGCCATGAACCTGAAATTGCTCTAAAAATTTTTAATTAAAAAAATCAAAGTGTTTCTTAAAACTTTTAAAGAGTATTTACAAAACATTTCCAAAGTAAAGAACATGGTATCTATTATCTTAAATTTAGATGGAGAACCAGGCTTAGAATTATCAATCAATATTTAAGACTACTACACAAAACAGTTTACTTTTTCCTGATTATATAAAGTAATATAAGATGAATTGTCAGCAAGGAGATAAAACAGAATCAGGTATCTATCATTTCTTGAGATGTATTTTCTCTTCTACGTGGTTAATATGATAAAAGAGCACTATCCCAACCATTAAAACAAGAAATACTGGGGCTGACACTGTAGCACAGTAGGCTAATCCTCCGCCTGTGGCACCGGCTTCCCATGTGGGTGCTGGTTCTAGTCCCGGCTGCTCCTCTTCCAATCCAGCTGTGGCCTGGGAAAGCAGCAGAAGATGGCCCAAGTCCTTGGGCCCCTGCACCCATGTGGGAGACCTGGAAGAAGCTCCTGGCTTCAGACTGGCACAGCTCCGGCCGTTGCGGCCATTTGGGGAGTGAACCAACAGAAGGAAGACCTTTCTCCCTGTCTCTCCCTCTCACTGTCTATAACTACCTGTCAAATAAATAAATAAAATCTTAAAAAAAAAAAAAACAAACAAGAAATACAAAAGTTAAATGAGTGACAGGGGAAGAAAAATGCAGCCAACCTACCAGAGTTTGAGGAGGATAGTTAAAACATTTAGAAAAGGAAAATGCAAGACTTGGTCAGAGCTTTCAAGAAATATAAAAGTAAGCTGTAAACAAAAGATGAGAATTCAGTACAAGTTATGCATATCTAATCTAAAAATCTGAATGCCAACAAAATACTCAAAAACTTTGGGATTTTGGAGTATTTCAGCATTTCAGATTTCAGATTAGGGATGTTTAAATAGTAAAGTCTAGGCAAATATTCCAAAAACCAAAAAATTCCAAAATCTGAAATGCTCTAGTCCCAAGCCTTTCAAATAAGGGATACTAAGCCCACATTTAAAGTATGATAATAATATACACAAAGGCAAAAAATACATGGAAAGTTTGGGAAAATCTAAGTAAAGCAATATGGCTACAGCAATTTGGAAATAAATAAGAAAAAAACAATATTAAGGATGTATGTGAGAAAGGAAAAAAAGGGAAGAAAGTGAATGAAGGATAATCATAATAACCTGCTATAATTGTACTCTGGTTAGACCTAACTTTACCCTCAGTCACTGAATGACAGAAACTGAAACCCAATTCAACATACAAGATTTGAAATATCCAATCTACACATAGAACAGAGAGACAGACTTGTACATTTGAAGAAACTTAAATTGTTAAGAAATTATCAATTTTATTGGCCTTTTGCTTCTTTTGGCTTCTTCTATATTACTGGACTTTGACAAATTCATAGCTTTATAGCACTCCAACAAATAGGTTTTATGGGATACACTGAAGAGTGACAAGTGGGACAAAAAAAAACAAAGACAAATCTACAAAAGGAATTCCATGTATTCAAAACACAGGAGAAAATAAGGAATCTTTTCATGATATATCTTTGGGAAGCATTTTGTTATAACTACATGTAATTTAAAAATAAATCATCATAAGCTATTACATACAAAACAATATCAAAATACACCCCGTATTTATAAATTTTGACAAGAAACAACAGAGATATATACCAAAAATGAACCCAAGAAGACATAATTACTCAATTTGGGTAAAAACATCAATGAAGCTGAAATGGAATGTCATAAAAAATTGAAAGAATTCTTATTGATAGTAGAGACAATACATTTCAGTCTTGATGCCACATAATGATCACACTTGATCTCATAATTTTTGTAATTAAGTTTTTGTTATATATTTTTCACAATTAAGAATTTAAAACACATTATTAAAATTTCTTAACTTTTTCTATATAACATTTTCTCATTACACCTAAGAGAGCAATGGTAGATACAATTTACAACCCCAATGCAATTTTTTAATTAATTGCTCTCATTATCAGCTTCAAGTTCTCAACTTAGCAGTCTACATTATTGCCTCCACCCAGAAACCTCAAGGAAAAAATCTTGATATTAACCATGTAATTAAATTACTTCTTTAGAGAATTTCTAAAACACTTATCCCTTAGATTTTCTGAATTAACTTTCACAAAATACACACACACACATAAATACTACAAATTAACACCTTACCAAATGGCAGCATCTTTGCTAAACAGATTTACTGTTGAATATTAATTCCTAAGCACCTTGGGTCAAAGAATATTTTTTCAGATAATTAAACCGCCATTTAATACCTCTGTTATAGGATATGTTAAACATGGTGGAATGGACACTGCATTTATTTATTTATTTATTTAATTCTTGACCAGTAAGGTTTTTACAATATTGTTCTGGGTAGTTTAACAGGCACTTAGCAAAATTTGTTTGCTTTTTTCACCACTGACATTCTGTTTTACTGAATGTGGTCTGCTTTACAGCAAACAGCTTGTACAACTAAATCAAGACTTACTTTGAGGATTAAAGTATGTATGACTTTTAAAAATGTAGCTTTCGAGTGAGTAAACATCAGGTAGATCTGGGTGAGCCATATTCCAGGCCAAGTAAAATTCACTCTTAGACAAATTCTAAAGGCGGCCAAGAAGACGAGGACATGAGGTAACAATTGCATATTAGTTCTATGTTGACTACACGTAGTGTATCTGGTGTCTGGGTAGCATCTCCAGAAAGTGATGCCGTAGTGAGTCTGAATGGCACTGACCTGGCTATAGCTCCCATTTCTAGAAACACCCTCTGTTCTAAAATGTTACGGTTTAACTAATGCTTTAAGAAATCTGATAACATCTACCAGTAGAGCATTAATTTTCCTTTTTGTGTTAAATATGGAAAGGTTTAGTTTTTTACTTAAAAAGGATTTAATTTTATCAAAATTAATTCTAATCTTTTTAACAGAAATATACAGGAGCGTTAGTTCAGAAAATATATATATACATACATGTAACATACAATTATTAAATTTCATCAGGCTTTTTAAAAATATTTTAATATGTTGTATCAGCAATGCTTTATGACTTAAATTTTAGAGTTTTTTTTTCGTAAAGATGCCCCCCACTTATCAGAAATAATACTTGGGGCCAGTGTTGTGGTACAGCACATTAAGATACCACTCATGACACCAGCATTTCATACCAGAGTGCCAAAGTCCTGGCTGCTCTGCTTCCCAACTAACTTCTTGCTTATATGCCTGGGAAGGTAGCAAAGGAGGGCCTACATACTTGGACCTCTGTCACCCACATGGGAGACCTACATGGAGTTTCTGGCTTCTGGCTTTAGCCTGGTCCAAACCTGGCTGTTGGAGTTACTTGGGGAGCAGGTCAGCGGATAGAAGATATCTCTTTCTCTCTCTGTCTCTCTCTTCTTCTAGCTCTACTCTTCCAAATAAACAAAATCTTTAAAAAAGGAAAGAAAGAATACCTCCTTGGTAGAAACTGCTAAATTATAGAACTCTGTTCAATTCCAGCTAATGACAAACATTAAAGACTACAAACAGGGCTGGCAATGTGGCATAGTGGATTAAGCTGCCACATGGAATGCCAGCATCCCACGTGGGTACAGGTTTATGTCCTGGATATTCCACTTCTGATCCAGCTCCCTACTAATATGCCTGGAAAAGCAGCAGAAGCAGCCCAAGTACTTGAATCCCTGCCACCAATGAAGGAGACCCTGATGAAGCTCCTGGCTTCAGTCTGGTCTAGCCTTGCCAGTTGCGGACATCTGGGGAGTGAACCAACGTGTGGAAGATCCCTCTCTGCCTCTCCCTCTAACTCTGCATTTCAAATAAAAATAACTTTTACAAAAAGACTACAGGTGGATTTAAAAAGTTGGACCCTTACAAAACAGCTTTAAAATGGTTGCTTTTAGATTTTCCATATTCATTTTATTTCATAAACAATTAGTTTAGATATTTTAGTTTAATATCTAAACTAATATCTGGGAAATATCAAAATAAATTTTCAAATATCTCCCCCAAGAATGATTCCTAAAATGTCATGTATTATTGAGATTATCTTACACATAATTAAAGTATTAACTCAGTGAGGAGATATCATAGCATCACCCAAGGTTAAATTCATGTCGTTTGCAAAAACATTATCTTAAATATCTATGAAAACTTAGAAGTAACAGACTTCCATATGGATGAGAGAATCACAACTATTTTGATATTCCTTAATCTGCTTGAAAGTCTATGAAAAAAATTTTACTTAAGAGAACTGAGACAGAGATCAGAATGTTTCTTAATGATCCAGCACCAGATGACAAAATGATGAGATGCTGAAGGTTAAGTCCAGGTAGGTTTCAAGAACACGCATAATCCATCTTTGGATATTAAACATTTGTTGACCTGAAGTAAGACTTCAGTATACAAATATTTTGGTACAAAATGAGGATAGCTCACAAAACCTATGGCCATTTTCAAGTTTAGTTTTTTAAAATATATAATACTGGAACAAAGCACAGAATAATGTACAGCATATTATTATATAGTCAGGTTAGGTAATAGAAAAAAACACATATTTGTTCTGTGGTGACTATTTATTATAGTGAGATTTATTTTCCTCTTCACATTTTCGGTGACTGTTTCCCACTGGTATCATCAACCAGGTCTCTCAGGCGAGATAAATGATGTAAGGCCCTTCATAAAAAGTACAAAACACATTGTAAAACAATATTAAGGACTGAACAGCCAATGGAGACAATAAGAAATGGCAGTTACATTGCTTATTAATTTCAAAGAAAGTACGAGAAACTAACTTACAGAATAATATAAATACAAAATTTTGAAAATCACCTCTTAAACAACCTTGAGATCTGAATAGCTGAAAGTTAAAATAATTTTTCTACAGTTCTATAAACATTTACTTAGAAAATTATATTTTTTTTATTTGACAGGTAGAGTTATAGACAGAGAAAGAGACAGAGAGAAAGGTCTTCCTTCCGTTGGTTCACCCCCCAAATGGCCGCTATAGCCGGCACTGCGCCAATCCAAAGCCAGGAGCCAAGTGCTTCTTCCTGGTCTCCCATGCGGGTGCAGGGCCCAAGCACTTGGGCCATCCTCCACTGCCTTCCCAGGCCACAGCAGAGAGCTGGACTGGAAGAGGAGCAACCAGGACCAGAACCTGGCACCCATATGGGATCCCGGTGCCATAGGCAGAGGATTAACCAAATGAGCCACAGTGCCAGCCCCAGAAAATTATATTTTTGACATTCAAGCTTTTAAGTTTCTCAGTCAAGAATCCTAATAAGAAACAATAATAATTATCATTGATATCACACTGAAAACATTTTTTCCATGTAATTCTCCTCACAGCTCTATGAAATAATAACCTCTTCTTTGAGTGTGTTGTGTATATATCACTTAAGAAACGAAATATGAAATCCATCTTTAGCATTTACACTCAAGAGAACTTTAAGAAATTATTTTAAAGAGCACTCAAGAGTCAGTCACACTTCTGACTTCTCCAATAAGGTTGAATAAAGGATATTATACTAACACCTGATTTTTCTGTAACAAAGCCAGGATTGCATACCAGGTCTCAGTGGAAAAAAATAAATCATTCCTCAAACAAACCAGGGATAGGCCCTTAACTTTTCAAGCTTCCTCCCAAACATATCCTTCTAGTTATTCTCTCCCATATCTTTCAGCTCCTTGGAAGCCACCCAAGAAAATGTCAATTAATCAATCCTATTTCAGATCTTTATAAATAAGAGATACTAAGAAAAAAAGATAATACTTAGGATGTTCATGGTTACCTCTAATGTTAGTAATTTCCATTTATAAATTGAGAAGTAGTGATTATAATACCCTATTGTCTCTAACATGGGAGGGGTACTTTTAAAAGTTTGTGGAAAATGGAATTAATTAAAATTACATTTTTGGTGCAAAAAAATCTGAAATTCATGCATACTTTTTTCATAACATGCATTTTACATAAATTTTTTTAAAGATTTATTTATTTATTTGAAAGGCAGAGTTACAGAGAGGCAGAGGCAAAGAGAGAGAGAGAGAGAGGTCTTCCATCTGCCAGTTCACTCCCCAATCGGCCGCAATGGCCAGAGCTGCACCAATCCAAAGCCAGGAGCTTCTTCCGGGTCTCCCAAGTGGGTGCAGGGGCTCGAGGACTTGGGCCATCTTCCACTGTTTTCCCAGACTATAGCACAGAGCTGGGTTGGAAGTGGAGCAGCTGGGATCAACCGGCACACATATGGGATGCCGTCACTGCAGGCAGCAGCTTTACCCTCTATGCCACAGCGCCGGACCTTCCATGAACTTTTTGAAGACATCTTGTTCAGTAAAGGCTCAATAAATGTATATTAAATAAAATACATTTTCCACTTTACCCAGAACAAGGAGATAAGAGAATGCCAGTAATGTTAATTATTGTAGGTATAGCTATTTCTCTGTACTTCTTGGATATTTTTTAACTCAGATGTAATGAGAGAAGAATCTGGATTTGTCTACCTTTTTTGGAAACTTCAGTTAATTTTTGAGATCTTTACTTTCATTTTCTAAATGAAAACTCATCACAATTAGAGGTATAACAACTAACAATTTTAAAAAGTATCATTTCTATGTCCGATAGTAATATCTCTTTCCCTAAAGAATATTTTCCTCTGAAAGAGACAGTTACCAGAAGAAAAGATAATTTTTACATACACTTTGGCCTTACTTTCTTTTCAGGATTGTTATTTATCTGTGATTCAAGATAAAGAAAAGGGCAAGTGACTAGAGCCCTACTTTTATTAATTACAAGTCCCAAGAGAAAGGGTTATAATCCATGGAGACATAGATTCTTTGGATTTAGAGGGTGTGTGAAATTGAAGGAGAAGATGGTATTTTTGTTTGTTTTTAAAATTTATTTATCTATTTGAAAAGCAGCATTGGAAAGAGGCAGAGGAAGAGGCAGAGAGGTCTTCAATTTGCTGGTTCACTCCCCAAATGGCCACAAGGGGGCTGAGCTGAAGCCAGAAGCCCAGTTTCTTTCAGGTCTCCCACATGGGTGCAGGGGCTCAAGGACTTGGGCCATCTTCCGCTGCTTGGGAACTGGATTGGAAGTGGAACAGCTGGGATTTGAATAGATGCCCAAATAGGATGCAGGTGCTGCAAGAGGAGGCCTAACCTATTACACCACAGTGCCAGCCCCAGTATTTTTATTTTCACCAGTCACTCTCTGTAAGTTAGTTTCCTTCCATTATGAATATAAACAGATCAATATCTGTGATTTTATATTCCACAGAATTCAGATATTTTTATATCATTTATAGTCACTGCAAAATTATCTCAAAGTATCTTTTTATACTCATGATTATTTCAAAATTAAAAGTTATAATATTGTAAGAGTTATTTTTTTAAGACTTATTTTATTTATTTGAAAGACAGAGTCACATGGAGAGGTAAAGTCAGAGAGAAAGAGAGAGAGAGAGGTCTTCCATCCAGTGGGTCACTCTCCAAATGGCCGCAACAGCCAGAGCTAAGCTGATCTGAAGCCATTAGCCAGGAGCTTCTTCCGGGTCTCCCACGTGGGTGCATGGGCCCAATCACTTGGGCCATCTTCTACTGCATTCCCAGGCCTTAGCAGAGAGCTGAATCGGAAGTGGAGCAGCCAGGACTTGAACCGGCGCCCATATAGGATGCCAGCGCTGCAGGCCAGGGCCTTAGCCCACAGTGCCACAGCGCTGGCCCCATAAGAGTTATTAAATTTACTGGAACACTTGTGATATTACTCTTTCTATTGTCTAGAAATGCACGTGATATAAATGGCCACCTATTAGCCAACTTTCTGCAAACTATTCATCCAGAAAACAGTTAGGTCTCACTGATAACCCAGACATTCATGCTTCCCAAAAATCCGTTTCTCTAAATGTTGATCCACAGGAGGAAAGAGGTAAGTAAAGGGGCTGGCATTGTGGCAGAGCAGATAAAGCTTTCGCCTGCAATGCCAGCATCCCATTGGGTGCAATTTGCTCCACTTCCCAACAAGCTTCCTACTAAGAGCCTAGGAAAAGCACTGGAAGATGGCCAAATGCATGAGCCTTTGACACCCATGCGAGAGACCCAGATGAAGCTCCTGGCTCCTGGTTTTGGCATGGGCCAGCCCTGGCCGTTGCAGCCTTCTAGGTGTAAATCAGTGGACAGAAACTCGTCACTCTCTAACTCTTTCAAATAAATAAATCTTTAAGAAAACAAACAAACAAAAGACCACTCCACAGTTTAGCTATACAGAAAACCTCCAAATTGATGGTTTTACAAAATGTATTTTAACTTGCTTACATCTTAAATGTACTGTCTTATTTTTAAAATGCATCGCTAAAGAAATACATATTATCACACCAAAATTTGTATTGTTTTCCTAACTGTGATTCAATATAAAAGATCTTTCTACTCCCATGTAATTTATTCTATGCTTTTGAAAACAATGCCAGGAGAGGAGGGAAGGGTACAGGATGAAAGAGAAGGGAAGAAAAGGTATGCAGAATAATGGGAAAAATAGATCCTCCACATTGGTTATACATCATTTCATCTCTATCTACCTTGCTTAGACTGAAACAATCTACCTAGGGAAGTAGCTATCTGACAATGACTGCTATTTCAAAAGTATATGTTGTCGCTCCCCCTCTTCGTGGAGGAACGACACAGGACCCTGCGCTGTTCTTTCGTCTGCTCGGCCCTCCCCGGGTTTGCTGCTGGTTCTTCCCGGGTTGGCTGCTGACCCCTTCCACCTCCGTGGAAGGGCGGTTCCCCCTGCCACATTCCCCACTTCCGCGGGGGAGCGGCACACCGCCGGCCGGCTCTCTCGGGGGCTGCACAGGTGTTCCCCTTAGATGTTCCTGGTGCATGCCGTCTCTCTCCTCCTTTATAGTCCTCCTCCGCCAATCCTAACTCGGCTGCCCACACGCCGAGTACGCTGCTCTCCTCCAATCAGGAGCAGCTCTTTCAGCTTATCAAGTTGGTAAGAGGCAGCTGGGTAGAAGCTGTACGCTCCTCTCCCAGCGCCACATTGTGGGAGAGCAGATGCATAGAATAAGTCTTAATTCCAGTAACTCAGTCCAGTCCGGGTTGCTCCCCACATATGTAAAAAAAACATGGTTAAAATTGTGGAAGGAATTATCCTTCATTTTCTTCTCTAAAAAAGTGGAAAAGCAGGCAACTAGGGAAAATATCAATTTAAGGGTAGTGTTACAACACTGAGTTGTCATTCACCTTAAAAACTGAAGTAAGGTTGAGCATGTGGCCTAGCAGTTGAGACATCAAATCTCACATCATAGTGCCCTGGTTTAATAGCTGCCTCTGGCTCCTGACCCCAGATTCCTTCTAGTACAGATCCTGGGAGGCAGCAGTAATGATAACTAGTTGTGTTGCTGCCATCCATGTGGGAGACCTAGACTGAATTCCCAGATCCCAGTTTTGGCCACGGCTCAGGACTTTTGCAGGCAACTGAGGAATGAACCACCAGATGGGAGCACTCTGTATCTCTCTGCTTCACAAATAAAAACATAATTAATTTTATAAAAATGAAATTAGGGAGATCCAAGACAGCTGGACAGGAAAAATTATATGATTTTGACCACGGAAAGATACCAGAACAGGGGAGAAGTTTGCAGTGGAAAGTCTACAGAGAGAAGAGAGACTCTGTGGACCAACAGGGACAGTATAACCACACAGCAGAGCAAGCAGTACACTGTTAGCAAGCCCCGCAGTCAGTGGCTGGTGGGAAAGCCATCTTCTCGGAGTGAGGTTAAAGGAACTTGCAGCAGTTGTGCCACTGGTAATATTGCCTGAGAGAGAACCTTATGATCTTCACTAACCAGAGTCCATCCTTTAGTAGTAAGAGGGCAGGATACCCACATAACCCTATGAAAGGACAGCACGTTACTGCCTTCCCTCACCCAAACAAGGTGCCTGGTAACAAGGGAAATAAATTAAAGAACAAAACCTATATGATTATTTCAATAGATGCAGAGAAAGCATTTGATAAAACAGAGCATTCTTTCATGATAAAAATCTTAAGCAAATTGGATGTAGAAGAAACATGACTCAGGCTGGCTCTGTGGCTCAGTGGGTTAACGCCCTGGCCTGAAGCACTGGCATCCCATATGATCAGCAGTTCGAGACCTGGCTGCTCCACTTCCCATCCAGCTCTCTACTATGGCCTGGGTTAGCAGTGGAATATAGCCCAAGTCCTTGGGCCTCCGCACTCACAGGAGACCCAGAAGAAGCTCCTGGCCCTTGGCTTCAGATCGGTGCAGCTCCAGCCATTGCGGCCAATTGGGGAGTGAAACAACATATGGAAGAGCTCTCTCTCTCTCTCACTTCTCTGTGTAACTGACTTTCAAATAAGTAAATAAATCTTTAAAAAAAAAGAAAAGAAACATACCCCAAAACAATCAAAGGAACATATGAATGGGGAAAAGCAGGAAGCATTTCCACTAAGATCCGGAATAAGACAAGGATACCCACTCTCATCATTACTATTCAATATAGTTCTGGACATTTTGGCCAAGACAAGAAAAATAAATCAAAGGGAATGAAGTCAATTAAAAATGATTCTTAATGAAGAATGAAATGGGAGAGGAAGTAGGAGATGGGATGGGAGTGGGGGTGGGAGAGTGGGAATGGGGGGAAGAACCACTATATTCCTAAAAGCTGTACATATGAAATTTGTATTCATTGAATAAAAGCCTTCTAGGCCGGCGCTGCAGCTCAATAGGCTAATCCTCCACCTGCAGCACCAGCACACGGGGTTCTAGTCCCAGTCGGGGTGCCAGATTCTGTCCCGGTTGCCCCTCTTCCAGGCCAGCTCTCTGCTGTGGCCCGGGAAGGCAGTGGAGGATGGCCAAGTGCTTGGGCCCTACACCCACGTGGGAGACCAGGAGAAGCACCTGGCTCCTGACTTCGGATCAGCATGGTGTGCCGGCTGCAGCAGCCATTGGGGGGGGTGAACCAACAGAAAAAGAAGACCTTTCTCTCTGTCTCTCTCTCTCACTGTCCACTCTGCCAGTCAAAAAAAAAAAGCCTTCTGAAAAAAAAGAAAAAGAAATCAAAGGGAAACAAATGGGAAAGGAGGAAGTCAAGTCAAATTATCCTTGTTTGCGATGATATAACTCTATACCTAGGGGAACTGAAAGACTCCACTGGAACTCAGAAGAGAGTTTGGCAAAGTTGCACGATACAAAATCAACACACAAAAGTTAACAACGTTTGTATACATAAACAATGCCATGGCTGAGAAAGCACTTCTAAGATTAGTCCCATTCACAATCGTTACAAAAAATTAAATATTTTGGGATAAATTTAACCAAAGGTGTGAAAAAAATCACTAAAATGAAAATTACAAAACATTAAGGAAAGAAATAGAAAATGACAGGGAAAAAGATGAAAAAATCTTCCATGTTCATGGATTAGATGAGTTAGCATCATCAAAATGTCCATATTATTCAAAGCAATTTACAGATTTAATACAATTCCAATCAAAATACCAAAGATGTTCTCACATCTAAGAAAGACAATATAAAGGGGCCAGCACTATGGCATATTAGGTTAAGCCTCCAGTCTGTGGTGCCGGCATCCTATAAGGGCACTGTTTCAAGTTCTGCCTGCTTCACTTCTGATCCAGCTCCTTGCTACGGCCTGGGAAAGCAGTGGAAGATGGCAAAAGTCTTTGAGCCCCTGAACCCACATGGGAGACCCAGAAGAAGCTCCAGGCCCCTGGCTTCAGATCTGCGCAGCTCTGGCCTCTGGCCTTTGCGGCCATTTGAGGAGTGAATCAGTAGATGGAAGACCTCTCTGAGTCTCTTTCTCTTTGAGTAACTTTACCTCTCAAGTAAATAAATAAATCTTTAAAAAAAAATTCATATGAAATCACAAGAGACTCAATAGCTAAAGCAATCTTAAATAATAAAGCTGGATGGGCTGACATTGTGGTGTAATGGATTAAGCTGCCATGTGCAATACCAGCATCCCATATGGCAGTCAATTCAAGTCCCGGCTGCTCCATATCTGATCCAGCTTCCTGATAATGCTACTGAGAAAGCAGCAGAAGATGGCTCAAGGTCCTTGGGCCTCTGCACCCAAGTGGGAGACCTGGATAAAGCTCCTAGCTCCTAGCTTAGGCCTGACTCAGCCCTGATTTTTGCGGCCATTTGGGGATTGAACCAGTGGATGGAAGATTCCTCTATTTCTCCCTCTCTGTAACTCTGCCTTTCAAATAAAATAAATCTTAGAAAAACAAAAAGAATGCTGGAAGCATCACAATACTATCTTTCAAGATGTATTACAGGGAGTTATAATCAAAACAGTCTGGTTTGGGCACAAGAACAGATACATGGACCAACAGAACTGATTAAAGACACCAGATATTAAACCACACATACACAACCAATTAATCTTGACAAAAAGCTAAAATCACTCTGTAGAGAATGGACAGTCTCTTTAACAAACGGTGTTGGGAAAATTGTAGCTCTGCGTGCAGATGCATGAAGTAAGATCCCTACCTTACATTCTACACAAAACTCACAATGGATCAGGGATCTAAACCTAGGACCTGAAATCATCAAATTACTAAAGTAAAACATCAGGGAAACACTGCAAGATGTTGGCATCAGCAATGACTTCTTGGTTAAGACCCCAGAAGAACAGGCAATAAAGGCAAAAATAGACAAATGGGATTACATCAAGCTAACAAGCTTCTGCATAGCAAAGGAAACACTCAACAAAGTAACAAGGCAACTGATAAAATTGGAGAAAACATTTGCAAACTATACATCTGATAAAGGATTAAAATCCAGGATATATAAGGAGCTCAAGAAACTAAACAACAATAAAACAAACAATCCAGTTAAGAAACGAGCTAAGAACAGGCATTTTTCAAAGGATGAAATACAAATGGTCAATAGATGAAAAGATGCTCAGGACTGCCAGCCATCGGGGAAATGCAAAAAAAACTACCATGAGGTTTCACCTCCCCCCAGTTATAATGGCTATCATGCAAAAATCAAAAAATAACAAATGCTGGGGGAGATGTGGTGAAAAAGTACCCTAATAAAATGTAACTTAGTATAATCATTATGGAAGATGATATGGTGATTCCTCAGAAATATGAAAATAATCTACCATATAACTCAGCTATTCCATTCCTTGGAATTTACCCAAAGGAAATGAAACCAGCACATTAAAGAGTTAACTGTACCACCATATTTATAGCAGCTCAATTCCCAATAGCTAAGATATCAAATCAACCCAAATGTTCATCAGCTGACAACTGAATAAAGAAAATGTAGTATATTCTCACAACGGAATACTACTCAGCCATAAAAAAATAGTGAAATTCTGTCTTTAGCAACAGAATGGATGCAAGAGAGATCATTATGCTTAGTGAAATAAGCTAGACCCAAAAAGATTCTACTTTTCCTGATTTGTGGTAACTAATATACAGAGTACAAAAAAAAAGGAATGAAACTGACATCTTGAGATTTGATTATTGTTTATAGTCCTTATCTATACTCCTGAGGAACACTGGTTTTTCAACTGCTTGTTGACTTCTTCATTTAGTGGAAGGTTAAGCTTCAAGTAAACTGAAAGTATGCCATTGCAAAAATAAGAAAGGAAGAAGGGAGGGTAGAACTGAGGCAGGGAGGGAGGCTAGGGTGGGAAGTATCATTATGTTCTTAAAACTGTACATATGAAATACTTGAAATCTGTTTCCCTCATATAAATTTTAAAATGATTTAAAAAAAGAAAATGCTCTGGTGATAGATGTGATGGTTGTACAGCATGTCAATGCTGTCAACTCCATGGAACTATACACTTGAAAATGGCTTAAATATGACTAATACATATCTACTCTTAGAATTACCTGATTTCAGTCAAAGGAATGGCTATGGTAGATTTGTATACATATTAGTAAAGAATACTTACTTTTGAAGTGACTTTGTAATGGGAATCATACTTTCCTTCAACTGTAATGTAGAGAAGTCCTCTTCTGAAATCTAATATTAAAAACATGAAAAAATATATAATTATAAAATGTTATTTAAAATGTGATAAGAATAGTAAAAACATTTCTGTACTTCTACAGATTCTAGCAAATAATTTTCAAAGAAGCATTAAATAATTTTATTTTCTTTTTTTCTAAAAATAGTACAACTACTTTCACTTAGATTCATCTTCCAGTTGTCCTAAAGTACTCTTGTAAAACATATGAATATTGGGGCCAGCACTGTGGCATAGCGGGTAAAGCTTCTGCTTACAGTGCCAGAATCCCATATGGGCGCCAGTTTGAGTCCCAGCTGCTCCACTATCGATCTAGCTCTCTGCTATGGCCTGGGAAAGCAGTAGAATATGGCCCAAGTCCTTGGGCCTCTGCATCCATGTGGGAGACCCATAAGAAGCTCCTGGATACTGGCTTCAGATCAGCACAGCTCCTGCCATTGCAGCCACCTGGGGAGTGAACCAGCAAATGGAAGACCTCTCTCCATATGCTTCTGCCTCTCTGTAACTCTGCCTTTCAAATAAATAAATAAATCTTAAAAAATAAATACAGTTTAAATGAATAGGCTTTGGTAGTTCCCAAGAGCTGATCTATTCATTACAATGAAAACTGAATTTCATAAAGCTATACCAAACAATAACAATGACTATATAAAGAGCTATCATTTATTGAGTGTTTTACCAGGTACCAAGCCCTAGACTCCATACTTCAGGTAATCTGTCTCAGTTTACCTTCTCAAAAACCTCATTACAGAGAAGAAACTGGTAAGGGAAATAAGACAGGTATAAAGACAAATACTGCAGGACCTCACTTACATGAAATCTAAAAAGTCAAACTTGCAAATAGTAAAATTGTGGCTAACAGGGAGAGGGTGGTGTGTGGTTAAGGATATATTGGTCAAACACTAAAAAATTTAGTTAGCAGGAGTAAGTTGAGAGAGCTACGGTACAACATAGTGACTATAGTTATTAACAATGTACTGTACACTAGAAAAATCGCTAAGAGTAGATTTTATTTTCTCATTCCCAAATAAGTATGTGATGTGGTACACAGGTCAGTTACTTTGATTTAGCCATTCTACAATATACACATATTTCAAAATATGTTCTACATCAAAAATGTATGTAATTTTAATAAATTAAAAATAAATTAATAAAGAAAAGGAAACTACAAAAATTAAGTGATTTGTATAAATGCTGCCATTAGTAAGTAGCACAATTAAAAAATACACTCAGACTTGGGAGAATATAAACTCTTCTCAAATGTTCTTTCACACTATATTTTTTAAAAGAAAATTTATCCCTTATAGAATAGTGCAGAGCAGAATCAGATCTTCAAATTCCTAAAAATACACAAATTTTAAAAAATTCTAAAATAAACCTTTATAAAACTATGTCCAGAAGAGCAAATAAACACATGGTAATAAAATTAAATTTCATATGAAAATATATACATATGGAGAAGTTCAATGTTGAAAAGCTTTTCTTGGCTTGCCCAAATATAGCTACAAGAAGTTGTACCACACAGATTAATTTTGCAGGACATTAAAAAACAACTCTTAATTCTGTATACAGTCCTACAGATTTACTTCTAAGGGTACAGCCTAAAAACTCGTCACAGGACTCCAAACCCATAAAAATTGGTGGTTTAAATGCCATCTTAACTGTTAAAATGATCATATTAAATGTAAAAGTCAACAAATAGATGGGTTTAAGTGTAAAAGCAATCATATAAATAACATCAAGTGCCAGGTAATAATAATACAATTAAAAAAGAAGGAAAGTCCAATATGGGAAGCAGTCCACACTGCAGACTCCTAGAATGACATTCACTGTAAATAACATTCTGACCTTAGAATCAACCCTTGAGGCTTCCAGGCCTTGCTGAAAGGCCTGTGAGGGCATTTCAGGCATGGAAAGCCAAGATTCTGTGGCAAAAAATATCCTACACAGAGGATCTCTGTGAGACCTCAGTGGAAAGAAAGGGTCATCAAAGAAGGATATCTTCTCTGAAGGGAGGAGAAAACATCCACTTTGCTTATGGCCACGTCCAAATACCGATGGAGTCTATGGTCACAGAAGGCTTCCATAGCCTTAGCAGCCCATGGCAAGAGCCTTGGGTGACCACTGACATCATAAATAAGAGTGTTAATTGTTAAAGGAACAACAGAAGTCACTGTGTACTTACTCCCTATATAGGATCTCCGTCCCTAATGAGTTCTACTATGAGAATCGAGGCAAATTTTGTTCCCAAACTACTCTATATGTTGTGTGTGTGCGTGGGTGCAAATTGTTGAAGTCTATGCTTAGCATAGAGTTGGTCCTCTGTATAAAAAGTCAAACTAAAAATGAACCATAATGAAGAAGGAGATGGGAAAGGGAGAAGGAGGTGGGATGGGAGTTGCGGGGGAGGATGCATATGGGGGAAAGAACCACTGTATTCATAAAATTGTATCTATGAAAAAATGCATTCATTATTAAAAACTTTAAAAAAAAGTTCTCTAGATCAGAAAAAAAAAAAACTCTTAAAATCCTTTCATACTGAGGTCGGCACTGTGGCACGGCGGGCTAATGCCCTGGCCTGAGGCACCGGCATCCCATATGGGTGCCAGTTTGAGACCCGGCTGCTCCTCTTCCGATCTAGCTCTCTGCTAATGGCCTGTGAAGGCAGTGGAGGATGGCCCAAGTCCTTGGGCCCTGCACCCACGTGGGAAACCTGGAGGAAGCTTCTGGCTTCAGATCGGCGCAGCTCCGGCCCTAACGGCCAATTGGGGAGTGAACCATAGATGGAAGACCTCTCTCTCTCTCTCTCTCTGACTCTCCTCTCTGTGTAACTCTTTCAAATAATAAATAAATAAATCTTTTAAAAAAAATCCTTTCATATTGTCATTGCAACATACATCTAAATAAGAAGTTGGATTTATAATCACAAACTAAATAGAACAATCATTGCCAAACTAAAAAAAATTGTAAATATCTAATAGTATTAAATGTAAGTTACTTTCTTAAAAAAAGAGTTGTTAACTCTACATTTGAGACAGAGCACATTTATTAACACAGGACTACAAGTAGCTATAAAAAATTATGTAGGAAGCAATCTTAATGTAGGCAATAATCTTTATGCAAACTCACAGATCTCAATCAGTAAATCAAGCTTGTGCTTACTTGCTTAATCTCTTCTTCCGGCTCGGTACTTTTATTCTGATTAAAACTTTCTTGTACTGCTTGAAGATTAAATAACATTTGTTTCAGTGCTTCAACTGGACCATGGTGCTTGCCTCCAGAAAGGGTACAACTCTAAAGTAAAAACAAATAATGGTAGAAGGTTACCATTAACATTTGGGAGAAAAAAAAGGTTTTATTTTGTAATATTTTCCCAAATATTAAACTAATATAAAATTCCAAACAATACATGTCAATAAAGTATTTTAAAGTATCAAAATTATAGGGTCAGGTGTTTTGCCACAGTGGGTTATACTGCAATTTGCAATGCCAGCATTCCATATCAGAGTGCTGGTTCAAGTTCCAACTGCTCTGTTTTGGATCCAGCTCCCTGCTAATGTGCCTAGGAAGGCAGCAGAAGATGGCTCAAGTGCTTGGGTCACTGCCACCCATGTAGGGGACCAGGACAGAGTTTCTGGCTCCTGGCTTTGGCCTGGCCCAGCCTAGACCACTGCAACTATTTGGGGAGTAAACCTGCAGATAGAAGATCTTTCCCCCTCCTTTTTCTCTCTGTCTCTGCCTCTCTGCATTTCAAATAAATTAATTAAAGAAATAAAAATTGTAACTCAGCATCTTCTCATACCCAGAACCCAGGTGAAGTTATTTATAGACAACCACCCCCAGAAATTAACCCACACACCTACGATCAACAAATCTTCACCAAACAAGCTAACAACATTCCCTGGAGAAAAGACAGTCACTTCCACAAATGTGTTGGGAAAACTGGATTTCCACATGTCAAAGCTTGATTCAAAACCCTTACCTCAAGCCCTATTCAAAAATCAACTCACAATGGATCAAGGATCTAAACTTGGACCTGAAACCATCAAATTACTAGAAGAAAACAAAGGGGAAATGCTGCAAGACATTGGCCTAGGCAAAGATTTCTTGGATAAAACCCCAGAAGCACAGGCAATAAAAGCAGAAACCAACAAGTGGGATTACATCAAGCTAAGAAGCTTCTATATGGCAAAAGAAACAATTAAAAAAATCAAGAGGTGACTGACAGAAGAGGAGAAAATAAATGCAAACGATATATCCAATAAAGGATTAATATTCAGAATATATAAGGAGCTCAAGAAACTTCACAACAATAAAATAAACAACTAGTACTCAATCCCAATTTATTTGTTTTTAGAATACTAAAATAAACTATCAATAATCCTAGAAGGAGTGATAGATTTATGGATATGTGTTAGGGAAATGATCTAGGTCTTTGAAAAATATCTAAATAACAGTCCTAAGTCTTCTTTTAGTAAGTTAAGATTTAACTTTACCCACCTGATCATCATCATTTAAGAAGTCTTCAAGGACGTGATTAACACACTTGGCCCTTGAACTTTGTGGAGGACTATGTTCAGAGTTAACAGGAACAGGAGATTTGCTACACAGGATTTAAAGATACAAGACAGCAATTAAGTTCTCCATTTCTAAAAAGCAGTATATAATTTTAATATTTTCATTTAAATACAAGTGGTTACCAAGAAAAAAAATCATCATAGATATGATTGTCTTAATGCTACATGGCAATTACCCCATCTTCTCCCTAAAGTGACACCAGAATCCATCCCTATCTACCTCCTTGCTTTTCTCTCAACGTTAAAAGTATAACTATAAAGAAACAAGATACCAGTCCTCAACCAAACAAGCCAGCCATCAACTACAGACTATGCCCCAAAACCTACTCGTTTCAAATAAGTAATACATTTTTTCAATTAAACACCGTTAGTGAGCCAATGATAATTAAACAAAACAAAACAAAGAAAAAACCTCCATGAACTCCTAAGAGTTTCCACTGGAATGACAATTACATGTTCTCTCACTCCAAGCCAACAGGACAGACTTCCTCTCCAAAACTGGTATTAACATAAAACAGATCATATTGGAAAAATGATTAATTTTGAAATTAAAGTCCTTAGGATCAATCCCAGTTCCATTCAGTATGTTACCTCAAGTAATTTATTTAGATGAACGTCAATGTCTACATTTGTAGTCCCACTTATCTTGCAGAGGTACTACAAAAATTAATTGAATTAAGTCTTTATGTACTGGTACATTTAATAGACTTGTCAATAAATATTACTTCACTGATACACAAGGAGTAGTAGAGGAATGGAAATCCTAGGCAAAAATCAAATGTTCCCCAAATCAAATTCTATTAATCACAGACATAAATTCAGTCTCTCTCTTATGTAACAATGTAAAGTGTTTGTTACTCAAGAACTCAGATACTAATACTTTTATAACATTTAAATGTCACAATGCTAATTGTTTATTCTTAATAAGCACCACTTCTTTTTTTAACAAACTTGAGGTGTAACTTATATGCTTTTTCTCACTCCAGATATTCTTTTCCCTCATTCTTCATCAACAGTATATATATCTACCCACTGATATCACAAAGCATTTACCTGACTGTTCAAGATAGGAGAAGGGTCCATACTTAGGGGTTCACTATACTATTCTTCTACTTGTGTATTAACAGAAATTTTTCATAATAAAACATTCTTTTTTTTAAGATTTATTTCTCTAGTTGAGAGTCAGAGTTACACAGAGAAGGAGAGGCAGAGAGAGTGAGAGAGAGAGAGAGAGAGAGAGCGAGATCTTCTATATGCTGGTTCACTCCCCGATTGGCCACAATGGCCGGAGCCGCGCCAAGCCGAAGCCAGGAGCCAGGAGCTCCCTACGGGTCTTTCCATGCAGGTTCTTGAGTCATTTTCTACTGCTTTCCCAGGCCACAGCAGAGACCTGGATAGGAAGTGGAGCAGCCAGGACTCAAACTAGCGCCCATATGGATGGCGGCACTGCAGGCAGCGGCTTTACCCGCTATGCCACAGCACCAGCACCCAATAAAACATTCTTTAAAAAGCAATTATCTGGTTCTACCTTTCAGAATACCACAGCTAGTACTTTCTAATCAATTTTGTTTCAACCCAATGACAAACTGACAATTTGTAAGTCTCAAACTGAGACTTAGCAGTCCATCATTAGTTTTATCTACAAACACGTCTAGCACAATGTGAATGCCATCTTCTAAAAGAGAACTACTGTATACAAGGTACTGGTCCAAACCACTGATAATATTTATTATATAAACCACAAGTTATATCATTTAATTACAACATATATTAAATGCATTCAAAAACTTTACACATACATTTCTGATATAACTTGGGTATTACTTGTTCACTCATTTTGGGTCCAATTAAAAATACTGAGGCTATGATACTTTACACAGGCCAACTGATATAAAAATGAAATTCAGAAATAAAAATGGGAGGAATTAAGCACTGAATGAGTTCATAACCCAAGTTATAAAAAAAGAAAAAAAGACAATGTTAAAATAATTTGAGGGACCAGCACTGTGGCGTAGCAGGTAAAACTGCTTCCTGCAGTGCCAGAATCCCATATGGGTACTGGTTTGAGTCCCAGCTGCTCCACTTCTGATCCAGCTCTCTGCTATGGCCTGGGGAAACAGAAGATGGCCCAACTCCTTGGGCCACTGCAGCCGCGTGGGAGACCCAGAAGAAGCTCCTGGCTCTTGGCTTCGGATCAGTGCAGCTCCTGCCACTGCAGCCATCTAGGGAGTCAAACAGCGAATGCAAGATCCCTCTCTCCCTTTCTCCCTCCCTCTCTCTCTCTCTCTATCTCCTCCCCCATCTCTCTCTCTCTGCCTCTGCCTCTCTGTAATTCTGCCTTTCAAATAAATAATCTTTAAAAAAAATAACTTGAGAAATGAAGCTAAAAAGAGAAAATAAGATATTCTGGATAGTTATCATCACTATTACAATTTATAAGAGAATTCACCCTAGTCAGAAACTGTCCTAAGAGCTTTATATTCATTTTCTAATCAATTGAGTCTTTGTTATAACCCCAAAATAGCTATTATTTCTCTATCTCCAAAGTTAAGTGAAATAACTTGCATAACATCTCACATCAAGAAACTGGCAGACAGGATGTCAAACAGGAACTACAGCCAGTGTATACACTCAGTGAAGAGATATTCAACTTGGGAAGTAATCAAGAAAGAATACAACAACTTTAAAATTATTAAGACAACTGAAGGCAATTATCAGAGCCTATGGCATGAATCTGGAGTTACCATGATGTATTTCTGGTAAGCACAAATAATAGCTATAAGATTTAAACTCTCCTATGTAAGCGACCAGTTCTAACTCCTACATACATTATAAGCTATGTAAGTGAGCTTTTAAATGATTCTGATAAACTGTATCATAGTAACATTAAGCATGCAAATGAAAACAATATCCGAAAGTACAAAAATTTAACAATAGACCACATAAGAAAATGCATCATCATTTAAGGATAGTAACAACTCAAGAGAAGGTGAAATGTAAATGAGAAGTAATGGATAACTCTAATATATGGAAAGAAACAAGGGTAGAGCTTAGAGTAAAATATACAATAATTTCATAACATTCTTCTACTTGCAAAAAAAGTGCTTTCGTTCTACTCTTTCATATTAAGATATAAATCAGTATTTTATAGAGAACATATAAAATAAACATATAATAAAGACAGAAGTTAATGAGTACCTAAGGTTATGAAACACTATTCCATCTTGTGGTAACAAAAGAAAAATGCAGAGCCAGCACTGTGGCGTAGCGCGTAAAGCCGCTGCCTGCAGTGCTGTCATCCCGGTTCAAGTCCTGGCTGCATCACTTCCGATCCAGCTGTCTGCTATGGCCTGGGAAAGCAAAAGAAGATGGCCCAAGTACTTGGGCCCCTGCACCCACATGGGAGACCCAAAAGAAGTTCCTGGCTCCTGGCTTCAGATCAGCTCAGCTCAGGCCATTGCAGCCAATTGGGGAATGAACCAGCAGATGGGAGACCTCTCTCTCTCCTCTCTTTCAAATAAATAAATAAATAAATCTTTTAAAAAAAATCAACTTAAGGCAAGCCTGAAGCTATGTTCTTTGGAATTACAACGTTATTATCACAGTTAATTACAATTAAGCTGTTTTAAAAATATATCTATTGTTCACATGGTACTTTTCATCTGGAAAACTAATGTTTTCCCATTGTCACTTACTTACAAAGGAACAGGAATATTATCCCATGATCTTTCTGCTTCAAGTTTATCTAATGAGCAAGGACTGTCATCCTTTTCCATGGACCTTGGTGATTCTTCAGTGCACTGCTCTAGATTTCTCTTGGCCTTCAGGATAAGCAATTCAATTTTGTCACCTAATTTTGAAAGACTATATTAAAACTCTAAGAAAAAAAAAATAAGAGCAAAGCATAACAAAATCTCACAAAGTTAACAAGAAATCATGTAATTTGGAATATGCACACATTAGTAACTAACTTATTTTAAAATGCCATTTCAAGCAAACAAGATATTTTAAGTATAAAGTGATAATACATAAATGAAGATCATAACTATTCTAAAAAGAGATCACTACATCAAAAATAAAACAAAAATTCCTAGATACAGGATCAAATTACAGTTCTTCCTTTGGTTTAAAAAAAAAATAAAACTGAAAAACTAAAAACAAAGTATTACCACTGAATGGCTTTTTGGTTTGTCCTGGGAGAAGTGGATTTTCACATTGACATTGGCTGTTTTCAGAATCACATTTGTATTTATTAACTAATCCTTTATCAACATTGAAGGAATCTGAAAAGTTTGAGGGTTCAAAAGAATATTCAAAACAATCTGACTTATTCATAAGCCGAGAAGTTCTTTGTGCCTGATAACTATGTCTAGGGGAACATTGATCTTCTTCAAATGTTCTATAAACTCTTTGACTATTTGCATCAGGTAGCAAGTCTTGATTGTGGAGCCAGACTGGGTATTTGGAATCAGGTATACTAGTTATCCCTGAAACATTAAGATCAGATTTCTGACTTGTGAGCCATCTTGGATAATTCTTTTCAGCGCTGTGTTCTGAACTGTCCTTCAAAGACGATTTCTTGGAAAAAGACAAAGATGATTCATAAATGCATTTATTAGTTCTATTCACAAGTTTTGGGTTTTTTAGCCTACCACATTGTTTGCCATTTTTATATGTGTATATAACAGGAGTGACTAAGTTATCCTTGCCCATGGTAGTGGAGGATTCTTGGAGATTTGGATTCTGTTCAGTGTTCAGTGAACCCAGTCTTCCAATGCATTTCTTGTTTTTCTTGCCTACTCGGTGACCTGGTCGGACGGAAGTGAAAGCCAATGATCCATCTGCTGGAAGTTTTAATAGATCATCGGTTGTTAGGCTAACAGAGTCTATGTCATTAAAAGTCTCTCTTCTATTAGCTAAGTTTAAGGAGTTTGAGTGCTTTATGTGATCAAGATTTTCAAAAGCTGAAAAACAAAGCACAGGTCTGTTTATCTTCCTTGATCATACATAAATACTTCATAATATTTAACACTAAAGAGTTAAGAACTTTAAAAAAATTAAAAACTTAATATTTTTGCCACTTTTCCCTTATCCTCACTAATGCATTGATTAAAATACAAGAGGTATAGGTTAATAAAATGTTTTATTAATAAATATATTATAGATTAATAAAATATGAATCTCCACATTTTTCTCTAATTTCCTAAATTTTCCTGTGTTCTTTAACTTACTGCTTCAACTTTTTTCATTTAGATATATCTGATACACCAATATAATCACATTGATGTTGGTCAGTCAACGTTGGCTTCAGCACAGAAAAAAGATGCTATCAAATAATTGGAAAAATAATTTGCTGTCTCACCTAATTTTGCAATGGCCTGGTATTTACAGAGACCAGCTGCACTAATTCACTAGTTGTCACCTCTAGGAGTTAGAATACAAACCTTTACCTAGACCAATGGCCGCCGCGGCCAGCGCGCTGCAAACGGCGCACCGCGCCGATCCGATGGCAGGAGCCAGGTACTTATCCTGGTCTCCCATGGGGTGCAGGGCCCAAGCACCTGGGCCATCCTCCACTGCACTCCCTGGCCACAGCAGAGAGCTGGCCTGGAAGAGGGGCAACCGGGACAGAATCCGGCACCCCGACTGGGACTAGAACCCAGTGTGCTGGCGCCGCAAGGCGGAGGATTAGCCTAGTGAGCCACGGCGCCGGCTAGACCTATTCTTTAAATGTTCCATGAAGTGCTAACTGGCTGGGAAGGCATATGGCAGAGCAGTTGAGATAATACCTAAGGTGTCCACATTTCATATCAGCATATCTACTTTCAAGTTCTAACTCTGCTTCCAATTCCAACTGCCTGGAAACCAGTAGATTATGACTGAAGTATTTGGGTCCCTACTACCGATATGGAAGGTCTAGATACAGTTTCTGGCTCCTGGTTTCAGCCTGGTCCAATCCTGGATGTTGTGGGCATTTGGGAAGTGAATGAGCAGATAGAAGAACAAACCAGGGGATAGGAAATTTGTCTCTTTTAGATACAATAAATTTTTTAAAAGATTTTTATTTATTTATTTGAGAGGTAGAATTACAGAGAGTGAGAGGGAGAGACAGAGAGAAAGGTCTTCCATCCGCTGGTTCACTCCCTAAATGGCCACAACAGCTGGAACTGTGCTGATCAGAAGCCAGTAGCCAGGAACTTCTTCCAGGTCTTTCACGTGGGTGCAGGGACTCAAGTGCCTGGGCCACCTTCTATTGCTTTCCCAGGCCATAGTAGACATCTGGATCAGAAAAAGAATAGCTGGGACTAGAACCAGTACCCATATTGGATGCTGGCAATGCAGGTGGAGGATTAATTTACCGCATTACAATGCCAGCTCCCAATAAACCTTTTAAAGTAGACAATTTTTAAAACTCAACCCATATTCTTAGGGAAAAAATATTGAATGGCTTATAAACAATTACATTCTTCAAAATTCTCATGGAAGAGCTTATCAAAGACAAATAACAATTTTGTAAATATTATTGTTCAACAGAATACAGATCAAAAAGGCTAACATAGTCCTACACCATCAAGTGGAATTGAGCAAGTATAAACTCAAAAAGGTGGAACTTGTTTAAAGTCATTAGGTTGGTTAATGAAAGAAATAATCAGCAAGTCAATGCTCTTTCCATTAGCTGTAGTAAAATGTCTTGAAGGTTTAGGACAAGCTCCTTCTTCATGCTCAAAAGAGAGGGTGTGTTGTGGTACAGTGTGTTAAGCCACTGCCAGCATCCTAAAGGAGCACCAGTTCAAGTCCCTGCTGTTCCATTTCCAATCCAGCACCCTGCTAACACACATAACAATCAGGATAAATGCCCCAAGTACTCAGGCCCCTGCCACGCATATGGCAGACCCAGATGGAGTTCTAGGCTCCTGACTTTGGCCTGACCCAACCCTGGCCTTTGCACCCATTTGGGGAGTGAGTTAGCAAATGGATGATTCTTTCTCTCCCTCCCTCCCTCCATCTCTCCCTCTAACAAAAAAAAAAAAAAGTTTCAAAATGGATAAATATGAAAATTCCTAGGAACTAGGCAATTATACCATCATCTTACAAAAATATTCAGATTTCAATGTTATTTGTATTACTTAAGTTATTTGTACTCCAAAATATCAAAACATGTCATGCTTTAAAAGACTAAAGCACATCTCTCAAATGTTTCAAATTATAGGAAAAAATAAAATATAAATAAATGCATACCCTTGTCTGGTTTATAAATACTGCTGGAAAACTGTCGCATATTAGTGAAACCTTTACCAATGTCCATCTCCCCAGCACTTGCATCTGGATGTGTCTGACTTAGTTCAAAATCATCAATATAGGCCTGCAGAGCCTGAGAAGCAGAACTGTACAGCTTATTCTTAAACTGAAATGAGCCATCAGAGTTAGAGGAATTACTACCACGCAGGCTGCAGCTTGCCAGGAGAGAAGAGACGGAAGATCCCCGAGAACAAACTCTGTGTTTTGTGTTTGATTTTGCCATGGCTTCCTCAAAATGGGTTATTTCTATTCATTCCCCTTAAAAACAACTGTAAAACAAAAATAAAAGGTTAAGATACCAAGTTAAGGGAATATTGACCATCTGCAGAGAAAATAATAAGCACATAAACTTCTAAAATGTTAATAAATAAAATCTATTATTTATAAGAGACACTGCCTTTTAGGCATTTTAGAGCTTTTTATTATTATTATCCCTTCATCAACAATTCAGAAAACATTTATTGAGCACCCACTATGTGCCTGGAAGGATACAAATATTTTCATGAGCATATACATGGAAAGTACCAAGGAAAGAGTACTCACTTTTTAGCAAAAGTCTTAAAAACTGCTGATGAGAGTCTTTTTCTCTTACAGTGAGATATTCTATGACATCACAATACCTAACACTCCCCTGCACAGACTAGTTTTATAATGGTAAGCCTATCACCTTGTACTTGCAAACAGTAGCTGCTCAGTAAAGTCTTTTTAAGCCATTAGTTAAAACATCAGAAAAAGACGGAACAATGGAGAATATCTTATTCTGTGTGTATGTGCACACCTGCTCAAATAGGAACAAAGTTGATCTGGCAGCCAGGGAATAAACACACATTCATGCATGAGTGTGGGCTGCCCTATAAAAAGAAATACAACATAAGTGGGGCAAGAGATGCCCATAAACTAGGGAGAAGAGAAAAACCAAAAATGATACCTGTGGTTGGGAAGGTCTGTCTGAGAAAAGGAGGGCAGAAGAGTGGAAAAACTCTGTTCTAGAGCGGAAAAGACAGTCTCAGTACCTCCAAACGAGGTTCAAGGCAGAACAAGGAGCATTCTCTGGCCTTCTATCACCTTTTGAGTCGTGGTCCTGGATGCAACAGACGCATCATGGGAAGACGCATCATGGGAAGGCAGGCAGAGATGCCAACATGTAACTTTAGCTAACCCTTTTCCCCAAAAAAGACTGGAGAAAATAAAACATTTTGTTTATCTGTAAAGAAAAAAACCACAAGTTTTATCATAAAATGAGCTAGGAGTATGTCCCCTTCCTAAAACAATACTGTTCATTATTTCCTAATCTTCACTTTGGGTACAACTTCTATTTTCAATTCATACGTTAAACAGATTCGGGTAACCTCTCTTCAAAATTTAAATAATCTGAAAATCGATCAGTGTATCCCCTACTATTTTCCTACTACCAAAATTGATAGAATTCTTGTCTACCTTAGTATAGCAATCGTAGGATGTGTATTTGAAAACTCAAGACAGAATGAACAAGCTTTAAATCCATATATGATATGACATGTTCAGAATTAAAATTCCTAAAGAAAAACTAATGTCTAGGACTTAACACATGCTATGATGTTATAAAGTCGGTATGTTTAATTTGAGGCTCCACTTCGACCTCAGGATGGTTTGAATCCCACGCATCTTACCATCTCCTCCATACGTGCTCCGGTTCGACTCCCCAGGAGCAAGCCCATCGTGCTGAGAGAACAGAAAGTTAGTTAAACTTGGGGCAAGAAACGGCAACTCCGCTGATTCAAAAGGAACGGTTCAAGGTCCATTCCCCGACGGGAGGGTCGCGCAGGAAACGGAAAGCGAGTCCTGGACACAGCAGCTCCGTGACGTGTCGGCTGCAGGCGCGAGCGTGGGTTTATTCTGCAGCGGCGAAGCGGAGACCCCGGGAAGCTTCGCCCGCCCGCGCCCCGCGCCGCGCCGGGGCGCACGGGGCTCACTTCTCCGCCCCTATTTAAGCAGCAACCCCAGCAGTGCCAGACGGAGTCTCCGGCGGGGGACGGTTCACCCCGGATCCCTTTCTTCAGCAGTGAGCGCCACCGCAGGCGGACCGAGAAGCAATCAGACACGACCGACCCTAAAGCGCATCGCCTTCTCCAGTGCCCAGACGCCCAGGTCAGGTCCCCGCCGTGCCGTCCCGGGGCCCATCCCCGCCCGAGAGGCACCCCTTCCCCGCCTTCTTCTGTCTCAGGACCCTCTTCCCTCGGCCTCCCCCGGGCTGTCAAAGGACTGGCTGCCCTCTGGGAAATACGCCGCACTCTCCAGCTTACTTTTCCCACTGAGGCCCCAGAAGTGGTTAAAAAAATAATAATAATCGCACGATCTTTACCGAAAGCTCAGGCCTGTGACCGGCCAGGGGAGGCTACAAAGCATCCCAGACCCGCACCCGGCCCCGCCGCAGGCTCCGCTGCCTCGCAGCTGCCTCCGCCGTCACAGGCGAGGGCGACGCCCGCGCTCGCTTTCAAACTGTCCCAACATGGCGCTGGCTTGCGGTGCGCACGCGCGGCGCTCGGGCGCGGGGCGAGGCGACTGGGGGCGCTGTGGGGCCGCCTCCTTCGCGATGGGGTTGGGAGAAAGTGCGGGTCAGGGCCTACGTCCGCTGCGCGGCTCCGCTACGCCCTCGCGGGCATCCTCTGCGCGGCTGCGTCGCGGTCAGGCTCGTCTTCCCGAGGCCGGCCGCGGGGCTGAGGGAGGGACTCGGCGGGGAAGGAGACTCGGTGCCGCTGGCTTACCGTCCTGTTGCTGCGAGCCAGCCCTGAGACTCCAGTCCCCGGGGAGCTCCACCATCCCCAGACGAGGCGTCGTCTCTGCCCGGAGTAGCCCCCCTACCACTTCTTGCCTCCCCGTCCCACCCAGCCAGCCCCTCGTACGCCAGGCAGATGCGGGACTGCAGGAGGAAGTCTGGCCAGGGTTGAGATTTAACTCTTTAGAGACCTTGATTTCCAGGGGAGAAGGGCAGTGACCCAACACGGACGGGGGACCCGGCCAGGCAACCCGGAAAAAGAGAGATTATACAAACAGATGTAAAGACCCACTAGCATGCGTGAACTTGTCTACAAGGCTGGGCAGGATGTGAGGTGGTAAATCAAAAAAGAAAACGATGCCAGCTCAATATTGGTTTGTGTTTATTTTCCACTGACCCTATGGGTGAAGATACCGTTGACCATTACTCCTGAATATGATCCAACTCATCCGATGTTACATCACCAGGTACTACAGCTGGGGTCTTCCTGTTTGATCTTTTCACTCTTTCTTGCCTACTAAACTTTACCTTCCCTTTTCTGTTAGCAAGTGAGGAAGCCCAGAAGATCAAATTCAGTGTAGCGGTTCAGTTAAACATATCTGTTGTGGCAAGAAGTGTTAGTGATTTGAAAATGATAAGAGTACCTGCAAGAGTTCCAACAATCTGCAAAATTTCTAGTCACTCAATTAAGAAAGTTGCTGAGAGGAAATAAGATAGAACAAGGACAAACCCAGGGGAGTGATTACCCAAAGATTGTTAATGGCAAGACCTTTAAAAGTTATGTTTTTATTCCACGTTCCACCTAAGTGGCTTTTTAACCTATCTTTCCTTGAAGTAATGTCTTAAACTGTTCTTTTAATAAACAGTTTTTAAAGTTTTCTTATTATCTCTTTTGTCCATCTTGGGTCATATACAGGGAGCTTCAAAAGTTTGTGGAAACGTATATTATGGTAAAAACTATGCATAGATTTCAACATTTTTTTGCATCAAGATAAACTTACCTTTTAATTCTATTTTCCTAGATTTTTGAAGTCCCCTTCTACAACAAATGTTTCTTAGTGAAAATATGAAGTATGAATAAAAGACACTAAGTAGATACAAAGGAAATTAGCAAATGCAAGTGTACAAGGGAACTTCAAAATGTTGTGGAAAATGGAATTATAAGATAACAATAAATACAAATTCTGTTTCTCAACATAAGCACCATCAATTTTAAGACACTTTTGTTAGTAATAACACAAGCCCTTTAGTCCCTCCCTAAAGATCTTAGGGTCTTAGGAATTTAACTATGTCATTGCAGTGCTTTTTTATTTGATTAAATGAACAAAACGGGTGCCCTCTAAATATTTTTAAGATTAGAAAACAGAGGCCGGCGCCGCGGCTCACTAGGCTAATCCTCCGCCTAGCGGCGCCGGCACACCGGGTTCTAGTCCCGGTCGGGGCGCCGGATTCTGTCCCGGTTGCCCTTCTTCCAGGCCAGCTCTCTGCTGTGGCCAGGGAGTGCAGTGGAGGATGGCCCAAGTGCTTGGGCCCTGCACCCCATGGGAGACCAGGAAAAGCACCTGGCTCCTGGCTCCTGCCATCGGATCAGCGCGGTGCGCCGGCCGCAGCGCACCGGCCGCGGCAGCCATTGGAGGGTGAACCAACAGCAAAGGAAGACCTTTCTCTCTGTCTCTCTCTCTCACTGTCCACTCTGCCTGTCAAAAAAAAAAAAAAAAAGATTAGAAAACAGAAGGAAGTCAGAAGGAGGAGCCAACTCAAGGCTATAAGTTGGATGCCTAATGATTTCCCATTAAAACCCTTGTAAAAATACCCTTGTAGCAGGAACATTATTATTCTGGAAAAGGCCTTTGCTAAAGAAGCTATTCTAGGCATTTTTCTGATAAAGCATTGGCTGACATTCTCAGAATGCTGGCAGATGTTATGACTCTTTGATCCTCCAGAAATTCAACAAAGTGCCTGACCATCCCAAAAAACTGTTGCTATGACTTTTGCTTTTAACTGGTCCACATTTGCTTTGACTGGACCACTTCTACCTATTGATGCTACTTCTTTGTCTTCAGGATCTTACTAACAAAGCCATGTTTCACCTCATGTTAGAATTTTTCAGTGAAGTGCTTCATGGTCTTTATCCCACTTGTTTCAACTTTTCATCGAAAGCTCTGCTGTTGTCTGTAGCTGAGACAGTACAACAGTTTAGGCACCTATCAAGCAGAAAGCTTGCTCTATTTTAATTTTGTATTAAGAATTGCGTAAACTGAGTCGATTGAGGTATCCATGGTGTTAGGTACTGTTCCTGTTGTTTGTCAGGCCTCATCAATTATAGTATGATCAAAATCATTTTTTTTTCTCACAAATTGACATGAACAAGCGCTTCTGCAGTCTTCATCTTTTTGTTTTAAAATTTTATTTATTTGAGAGGTAGCGTTTTAGACAGACAGAGAGAGAGACAGAGAGAAAGGTCTTCCACCCACTGATTCATTCCCCAAATGGCTGCAACAGTCGGAGCTGCACCGAAGCCAGGAACCTGGAGCCTCTTCTGCATCTTCGTCTTTAACATTATTTCATCCCTTCTTCAAGTATGTTATCTGTCCATTTGTAAACTGCTCATTTATTTTGGCAAATGTTCCCATAAACTTTTTTTAAAGTACCAGTGAGTTCACTATTCTTGGAAGTTTGATCTTGCTTCAATTTTAGCAGGATTGATTTGATAGAGGCTCTTTCCAAATTAATGTCCTATTCTGTAGTGCCTCACACTAACTCCTCTTCAGACATGTTAAGACTAGTTAGTTACTCCTTGTTTATTTGGTGCAGAGAAATTTTGAAATCCATGTATTATTTTTTCATAGCATACATTTTCCGTGAATATTTTGAGGACTCTTTACAATGATATAATTAATGAATCAAAATAATTCCACTTTATTCTTTCACAGGTTAAGAGATATGGAGATTTCCATGAGGATCTGGAGACGACTCCCAGTGGTCACTGAAATTTTGGATTAGGTTTGTTAGAAAAGGTAAAGAAACAAGAACTTTACTAGGAAAGAGGAGATGATAATAGTGTACTAAAGTTTTTCAAATGTAGATTGTCAACTTGGTGTTGTACTTGCTGGAGAATTAAATCTAAATAAGAGAAAACATAATTGTGATCCAACCTGAAGAATTTTAGATATCAAGGGAAGAAATGTCCTAATAATTAAACTTGAAGAAGGTTTATTGAGATGCTTCAGGAAAAAACTCTTTTGAGTTTTTTTAAATGAAGGATTTGTCTGTTAAAAGAAAAAAACTAACATTCTGATTACTTAGAATAGAGCCTCACACTATTTCAAGCACTTTTACATACGTTAACTCATTTAAATTTCCTAACAACTCTAAGATAGGTATTTACCCATTCTATACATATGAAAATTGAAGTTCAAAAGTTAAGCAGTTTACACAAAATAATATATCCGGTGGTGAGTGGCAGGGTTTGAATCCCATTGGGTAATGTTTGCACATTCTTTCTACCATATATACCAGCTTCTCCTAACTGAAAACTGACACTAGGCTAAAGAGCCCATAACACTGTAGCTTCCAGAACTCATTCACAGCAGAAGCAGTTTCTGATGCAACTGTCTTTGCTAAACCTACCCACAACACCTACCTTAGTCCCTTTGGGCTGCTCCAAGAAAGTACTGAACTATAGGAATTCATTTCTCACAAATCTGGAAGCTGGAAGTCCAAGATCAGGGTGGCATTATTGTTGGGTTCTAGTGAGGACCCTCTTCCGGAATACAGACTGCTAACTTCTGGCTCCACCAGACTTGGTGGGAGGGGAAAATGAGCAGGCACATCCATTCATGAGGGCTCTATCCTCATGACCTAATCATCTCCCAAGGGGCTCTACCTCCTCATATCATCACCTCGGAGGTTAAGATTTCAAGATAGGAATTTTAGGGAGAAAAAAATATTGAATCCACTGTTCTACCTTGCTTGAAATGGAGTTAATTTGAACTTGTTTCTCTCTGAGGAGGTGACATTTAAGCAAAGTCACCAATGAACAAAGTCAGTCATGTGAACACATTGGAGAAGGATGTTCCCAGCAGAAGGAACAGCAAGTGCAAAGACCTGAGTTAAGAAGTCACTTGGTTATATTTGAGGAACAATCAAAAGTTAATTTGATTGGAGCTGAGTGGACAAGAAAATCAGTAGTAGTAGGTATGTTTAAAGGGAAGCCAGAGGTCAGATCATATACTGCTAATGCCGCTCACTCTAAAAAGATGGTTTCCCAAGTATATGTGATCCTTTCCAAGAGAAAGGAAGCATGATTAAGCTGTTTGGCACAATAATGACTTATCGACTAGCATGTGCCAGGAGCTGGAGTAGGATATTTAAGTGCATTATCTCCTTTAATCTGCACGAGTTCTATATCTTGAAGAAAATGGGGAAATAGTAATATTAAAGTAACATGATTCAAGTAATAAGTGGCAGAGGGAGGATTTGACCCAGGTCTCTTTGATTCCAAAGTCTGCCTTTTTTCATTTTACCGTATTTTCTTATTTAGAAGACTGAATAAGGAGAAAGAGGTTCATGTGTGCATATAACCAATAAGTAGTTATTATTCATTGCTGTGTGACAGACACTGTAGAATAGTGTTAAAATATAATATAGCATTTTTAAAGTGTTTACATGATTACATTCTCACCAGTTATTTGTTTTTAAAACTTTACAGATAGATGGACTATAAGGCAATTGCCCAACAAACTGCCCAAGAAGTTTTAGGTTACAGTCAAGATATATCGGGCTGGAAAGTGGTTAAAACTTCAGTAAGAAAACAAGTTAAATGTTTCCAGAGTTTGTTTTTCAATGAGAAACAATTCCTTGTGCATTTATTTAAAATATTTCTTTTACAAACCAAAAAAAATCTTTTTTGCTTTTTTTTTTCATTTTAATTTTTCTATACCTGACAGCTAATTTATCTGTGAATTTTTATTCCCCTTTGAGAAAAAGATAACTGTTTCCAGCAAGACTTCTAGAAGATTCCTGGGAAATCTGTGAGTACAATTTTCTATTTACAATCAGTTTTTAAATTCAAAGATATTAACATATCTGGAATTCAATGCTTGTTTCATTAACTGTAACAAACTATTAATTAGTAATAAGGAAATAAAAATTATTAAGTCCCTAGGCTGAAATGTAATATTTTTGGGTTTTTTTGTGTGTTTGTTTTTTAAAGATTTATTTATTTATTTGAAAGAGATACACAGAGAAAGAGAGAAAGGTCTTTCATCTGCAGATTCACTCCCCATTTGGCCGCAACAGCCTGAGTTGCGCCGATTCGAGGCCAGGAGTCAGTCTCCATGTGGGTGCCGGGGCCCAAGATCCTGGGTCATCTTCTGCCGCTTTCTGAGCCCATAGCAGAGAGCTGGCTCAGAAGTGGAACAGCCCAGACTTGAACCAGAGCCCATATGGGATGCTGGCACTGCAGGTGGTGGCTTTATCCACTATGCCACAGTGCCGGCCCCTGAAATGTAATATTTTTTGAAAAAAATATTTATTTATTTACTTGAAAATCAGAGATAAACCAAGAGAGGGAAAGATATCTTCCATCCACTGGTTCACTCTCCAGATGGCTGCGATAGCCAGTGCTGCGTGAGGTCAAAGCTAAGAGACAGGAGCATCCTCCAGGTTTTCCACCTGGCGGCGGGGGCCCAAATACTTGGGCCATCTTACCACTTTTCCCAGGCCATTAGCAAGGAGCTGAATCAGAAGTGAAGCATCCAGGACATAAACTAGCACCCATATGGGATGCCAGCAAATCAGGCAGTGGCTTTACCTGCTATGCTGGCCCCTGAAATATAATGTTAATCAATTACAGCAACTATGTGCCACCTGATCATTTATATTCAACTTGAAAGCAATCATAAAAAAAACTCTCCTGGTGAATAATTTACTGCGATAAGAAAGTTCCAATTTAAGAAATAATAACTATAAAAGCCAGTTTGGTACTGTGTGAACAGTAGTGTTTTACGATCTACTTATTTATTTTTTAAAGGCAGAGACAAAAAGAAATATACAGGCAGAGATCAAATACTTTCAGGGCTAGGTCAGGAACTCTAGCAGCATGTCCCACACAGGTGGAAGGGACCCAGCTATTTAATCCATCACCTACTGCATCCAAAGATGTGCTTTAGCAAGAAGTGGGAAACCATACCCAAGCCAAGACTTGGACCAAGGCATTACGATATTGGATGTGGGTGTCCCATGAAGCATCTTAACTGCTAAGCCAAACACCTGCCCAAATTTTGTTGTTTTTTTAAGCCCCTCACCTTTCTGCTAAATGAGTCACTAAATATTTGTTTTCCTCATTTTATTTCTCTTACTGATAAATGTGATTTTTTTCTTGAAGATGCTTTTATGAACCCTATTATTTGAAATATCTATTTCAAGTAATATTCAAAATATGTACTTTAAATAATAAAGGAGAGTGTGCTATTTTAAGTGTTATTTGCTAGAATTGTTTATTTATTGCTCATGATATCACACCAGTGCCATCAGCTCATTGTATTATTGAAGAGACCAAATTATACTCAACTCCTTTTCTTTTGGAGTTCACTCCTTCTTTCAACTACCCCATTTTGTGTTTTTTTAATCTAAAATTTAGCTATCTTATACATGAGTTCATTTTTTTTTTTACTGTTGGACAAAGCTTGTATGACTTCTTCCATTTATTTTAAGAATTATTAGGAAAATAATTCCTACCTTTTTTGCCTAAATAATTAATGAATCTGGTAGTAACATTTTAAAACCAAACCAGGGAGAGTGGGTACAATAGAGTCCAAGTACACTGTGAGAATAGACTTATAGATAAGGTGGCTTTCAGTAACTTAAAGATCAGACTAGTGTAGACAGCCACTTCTACATCAAGAAAAACTTGGAAGTTATTCATTCTGCAAATACTTATTGAGTATTTATATGCAACATATGATACACAATGCCTAGGGCCATTCAAAGAATAACCTCCCTAAAGCTGTTTTAATGCTTAACTAAAACCTTTTACCAGAGATGCTTTACTCTTAATGTAAAACTAAACAAAGAAATAATTCGAACTTTTTGCTCTCACATTTTGAGTGAAATTTGTATATACTGTATGCTGGGTATCTATTGGTATACAGCAGATTACCCAATAACTTACCGGCGTAATCATTTATCATATTATGGTTTCTGTGGGTTGGATCTAGGCACAGCTTCACTTGGTGCCTCTGGCTCACGGAATCTCACAGTGCTCCGGCTGGAGCTTAGGTCTCCTCTGAGGCTCAATGGAGGGAAACTGCCTCTGAGCTCTGTCACAGCTGTCAGCATGATCCAGTTCCTCATGGCCTTACTAGATCAAAGGCCTCAGTTCTTGAGGACTCTTGGCTAGAACCTTCTTTAGTTTCTTGATGTGTGAGCCTCTTTATAGCACTTCACAACATGGCAGTTTACTTACCTCAGGATGAGGGGTCCAGGAAACAGCAAGAGAAAGAAAGATCAAGCAAGTCAGAAGCCGTCTTTCTGCAAACTGATCTCCAAGTGCTACCCCGTAACTTTTGCAGTCTTTTGCTGAGTAGCAGTGAATGACTAGATGCACTCATGACCCAGAGGAGATTACACAGCACGTCAGTACCATCTGGTGGAGTGTATTAGGGCCCATTTAAAAGGCTATCTGCTGCACATTGACTTTGGCAAAGTTTTTTTTAAATTCTGTTTTATAGTTAAGCTATGGATCCATAAATGTCAAACATAGTTTCAGAATTAAGATTGATAAAAAGTACATAAAACTCAATTTTGCATGCATGCTTTCTCAGGCACAACACAACCCACTGATTCTTCCACATTTTTCACATTTATGTGTAGAAAGAGAGTATGATTGAAGCAGTTTGTATTCATCAAATGTACTTATTCACTTTTGTTTTTTACTCAAGGAAGGTTTTATTTCTTTTAAGGAATATATTAATACATTAGATCCTCAGGGTCACAGCAAATGCATAGTAATTCCTACAACAAACTTTTCATCAATTTGCATGCTAATGTGATAGTAATACAAAGAGAACAATTCGATGTAATTCATAGATACAATTCTAAGAATATAATGATATTTCCCTCACCTCACCTCCCTCTTTCTTTCTTTTTCAAATTTTAAGGTAATATTCTAATTTATATATTTTTAATTTATATTATATTCAATTAATGCTCCACTAATAAATAAAGAGCTCAACAAGTAAAAAATAAAAATATCTTAGTTCATTGGGGATCTAGGCAAGGGCTGTAAATAATAATCAAATGAAAATATGTCTATTTCATACATATACAATAAATCATTTAAACTATAGTAGTTTATTTATATTAACTACCACAAATAAGAGAAAACTTGTATTTTTCTTTCTGGGTCTGGCTTATTTCACTTAGCATAATGATATCCAGTTTTATCCTTTTTTTTCTTTTTGCAAATGTCAGAAATGTATTCTTTTTTATGACGGAGTAGTATTTCTTCCTGTATATATATATATATCACATTTTATTTATCCAGTTATCAGTTGATGAACATCTAGGTTGGTTCTATATCTTAAGTATTGTAAATTGAGATGCTATAAACATGGGAGTGCAGGTAACTCTTTCATATACTACTTTCATTCCTTTGAATATATTCTCAGGAGTAGGATAGCTGGTTCACATGGTAGATCTATTTGTAGTTTTCTGAGGACTCTTCATACTGTCTTCTATAATGGTTAGACCAGTTTACATCCCCACCAACTGTGTATTAGGATTTTCACCAGCATTTATTATTTTTTTGATTTTTGAATGATAATCATTCTAACAGGGGTGAGGTGAAACCTTATTATGGTTTTTATTTGCATTCCCCTGATGACTAATGATCCTGAGCATTTTTTCACATGTCTGTCGGCCATTTTATTTCATTCTTTGTAGAATACCTGTACATATCCTTTGCACATGTCTTTTTTTTTTTTTTTTTACATTTTAAGCTTTTATTCAGTGAGAAAGATGCATGGGAGAGTGAGGTCCCTGTCTAAAGGAGAGAGGTAAATCTGTGTTCATACCGAGTACCAGGAACCAGCCCTGTGGAGGAGCATCTAGGCCAGGAAGCATGGGGTGGGTGGCCCAAGGGCCACATGCCCAGAAGGTGCAGGGCTGCAGCCAGCCCCCTACTGCTCTATTTATTACATGATAGGATTTCAATTTTTTTTAATTCATTAAGACTGCTTTATGGCCTAGTGTATGATCTATCCTAGAGGATTTTCCATGCACGGATGAAAAGAATGTGTATTCTGCATTTGTGAGATGAAATATTCTATATGCATGTATTGGGTCTATATCTGTAGCGTAGATTAGTTCTGATATTTATTGAGTTTTTGTCTGCTTGATCTGTCCAGTGATGAAAGTGGGGTGTTGAAGTCCCCCATTATTATTATACTGGGTTATGTCTCCCTTTAGATCCATTGACATTTGTGTTATAAACTGGATGCCCTGGCATTGGGTGCATGTATATTTACTATAGTCATGTGTTCTTGTTAAATGATCTCTTAATTATAATGACCTCCTTTGTCTCTTTTAACCATTTTTGTCTTCAATTCCATTTTTGTCTGATATGAGAATAGCTATTTCTACTATGTTTTGATTACCATTTCATTGAATATCTTTTTCCATCCTTTCACTTTGAGTCTGTGTGTATCTTTATTGGTAAAGTATGTTTCTTATAGGCTGCATATAGGTAGATCTTGTTTTTTCAGCCTTTCAATCAGTCTGTATCTTCTAATTGGTAAATTTAGTTCATTTACATTCATGGTTCTTATTGGTAAGACATGACCTGGTCCTGCCATTTTTCCATGAATATTCCTATTGTTTATTTTCAGTCTCCCTTGTTCTGTTAACAGGAGGTTGTGTGCCTTCACATTCTCTCATCATGCTGAATGTCTTTTTCTGTTTCTGTGTGTAGTACATCCTTAAGTATCATTTGTAAGGCTGGCCTGATGGTGACAAATTCTTTCAATTTTTTCTTGTCTTTAAAGATCTTTATTTCACCTTCATTTATGAATGAGAGCTTCACTGGGTAAAATATTCTGGGTTGGCAATTTTTTTTCTTTTTGGACTTGGATGACATCTCTTGGTTCTCTCTTGTCCCATGGAGTTTCTGTTGAGAAATATGCTAATCTTAGGGCAGATCCTTTAAAGGTGACATTTTTAAGGAGGCATTTAAAGGTGGCATTTCTGTCTTGCATATTTTAAGATATTCTTTTGATGTTTTACTTTTAAAGTTTGACTGTAACGTGTCGTGAGGAAATAGTCAAATCATTCCTATTTGGGGTTCTATGTGTTTCCTGTATTTCAATGTACACATATTCTAAATATATGCATATATATATGTATGTATATAAATATATGCACATATAATCTAAATTGGAGATTGTTTTCTGCTGTCCATTCACAGAATAAGTTTTCTCAACCATTCTATTTTTACATACCTTTGGAAGTCATAAGACATATGTATTTGGTTATTTGATTGTATCCCATAGATCCCAAATACTGTTTTCAGTCTTTCTAATTTTTTTATTTTTCTTTCATTTATTTTGTCTGACCTATTTCAAAAGGTGTAGCACCTCTGGCTACAGTCAGTAGGGGGAGAGAATGTTGGAACTGGCAATTCTCTGTGCCAAGATGAACCAGCTGATTCATGGCCTAGAGTGAGTTCATGATGCCTGCAAACCCACCCAGACACATGCACCATTCAAAATACCAACCCACTTTCTGGTATATCCACTGAGCCTTCTGTGAGATCTGTCCAAGGACATGGAGAACCCTGAGTTTCTACAGTCGGACCACACAAACATGAACTCAGCTTGGAGGCCTGCGCCCAGGACTCTGACAGCCACGGGGTGCAGTGTGTCCTCTCTCTGCCCTGTGAGTTACCCCATCCCCTGGAGGAGCTGCCATGATTCCCAGGGTAAGGACAGAGATGTCTGCAGCTCTTCAGAACCTTGATACTGCTGCTTTTGAGGGTAGGGGAAGTACAGTAGCTGCTCAGGACCGTGACAGTGCCCCAGGCTGGACTCAAAGAACAATGAAAGTCTCCCTTAGCCAGAGCCACCAGTGGTGTAGGCTCTGACAGCCTCCTGTCACCTCAGCTGGGTGCCAGCCATAAAGATGCAGGAGTTACTGGTGGTTTGCAGCCAGCAGCTGTTGTGTCCGTACTTGTTCCTCACTGCTCCACAGAATCTCTGTTCTGTTCTTCCATCTCCACTGAAAATTTCTCTCAATCAGTTCATGAGAACATGCTTCTTTGTTTTTCTGGAATCTCTGGCTACAGGCAGTACAACTTCTCCCTATTCAGCCATCTTGGATATCTCAAATTTACTTATTCTCTATCAGTTATGGCATGTATTTAGGTTCCACAAGGAAACCAAGCTGAACATGTTGGTCAGGTTTGTCTGCTTCATTTAAAACTTTTCCTTCCCCAGTCTAGAGTCCTAAGCTGCTGAACTCAGGACCCTGGAATTCAATTTAGATCTCCAGGGGCCAGTACTGTAGCATAGCGAGTTAAGCTGCCACCTGCCGCACCAGCATCCCATATGGAGGTCATTTCAATCTCGGCTGCTCCATTTCTGATCCAGCTCCCTGCTGATGTGCCTGGGAAAGCAGCAGAAGATGGCACAAGCACTTGGACCCTTGCCCCCATGTGGGAGATCTTGGATGATGCTTTGGCTTTGGCTTGACTCAGCCCTGGCCATTGAGGCCACTTGGGGAATAACCAGTGGATGGAAGCTTGTGCTCTCTTGCCTTCTCTCTGTCTGTGCATCTGCCTCTCTCTAACTGTGCTTCCTTTTTTAAAGATTCATTCATTCATTCATTCATCCATTCATTTGAAAGGCAGAGTTACGGAGAGGCAGAGTCAGAGAAAGAGAGAGAGGTCCTCCATCCACCGGTTCACTCCCCACATGGTTGCCACAGCGGGAGCTGTGCTGATCTGAAGACAGGAGCCCCTTCTGGGCCTCCCAAACAGGTGCAGGGTCCCAAGGATTTGGGCCATCCTCCACCACTTTGCTAGGGCATAGCAGAGAGCTGATTCGGAAGTGGAGCAGCTGAAACTTGAATTGGCACCTATATGGGATGCTGGCACTGCAGGTAGCAGCTTTACCCACTATGCCACAGTGCTGGCCTGATAAATAGATCTATAAAAAAAAAAAAAGTTTGTCAACTTCAAGACACCTTTGTAAGTTGTGGTATCAGCCATTTAGTCCATTCCTAAGGGTCCTGGGAACTTAACCATGTCAGGGCAGTCCATTTTACTTCGTGTATGATTAGCAGGGAAAAAAGCGAGGTGTGCATTAAAGAATTTTTAAGATTAGAAAATAAAAAGCTGTCAGAAGGAACCAAATCAGGGCTAAAAGGTGGATGCCTAATCATTTCCCATCAAAACCTTTGTAAAACTACTGTGTTGGGCCCAGCATTGTGGTGCAGGGGGTTAAGCCACCACGTCAGATGCTATCCTCCCATATCAGTTATGATTTGAGTCTTGGCTACTCCTCTTATCCAGCTTCCTGCTAATGTGCCTGGGAAGGCAGTGAAGGATGGTCCAAGTATTTGGACTCCTGCCACCCACACAGGAGACCAAATGGAGTTCCTGGCTCCTGGATTCAGTCTGGCCTAGCCCTGGAAATGGGAAGTGAACCAGCAGATGAATGATAATCTCTATTTCTATTTGTGTGTATGTGTATGTATATGGTGGGATGTTTTGCCTTTCAAATAAATAAATATACCTTAAAATAAACTACTCTTGGTTCTTCAGGGAAATCAGCAAAACATGTCATGGTAGAGAAGGACACTCTTATAAAGAAATTTTACTGGGCCTTTTTCTAATAAAGCTTTGGCTACCTTTCCCAAAACACTCCTAGTGAGGAGATGTTATCTCTCTTTGACCCTTCAGAAAATCAACAAGCAAATTTCCTTGATCATCCTAAAGAACTGTTGCCACACCTTTGCTCTTGACAGGTCTGCTTTTGCTTTAACGGGACCACTTCTTCCTCTTGGTAGCCATTGCTTTGATTATGCTTTTTCTTCAGGATCTTACTAGTAAATCCATGTTTCATCTCCTGTTACAATTTTTCAAAGAAATGCTTCAAGATCTTTATCCTACTTGTTTAAAATTTCCATTTAAAGCCCTACTCTGTCTATAGCTGAGCTGGTTCCAACAGTTTTGGCACCCATCAAGCAAGTTGAGAATTTGGTCGACTTTGATTTTTCTCTCAGAATTGTGTAAGCTGTGTCATTTGAGATATCTGTGGTGTTGGCTATTGTTTCTGCTGTTGATCCTCATTTCTCTTCATTTAGGGCATGTACAAGTTTAATTTTTGATGTGGATGATCTGCCACTGTTGTCTTCATCTTCAACTTCATCTTGTAAACTGTTGGTTTCTTTTGAGCATTGTCCCCATAAACTTCTTGTAAAGCATCAGTAAATTCACTATTCCTGAACCCAGGTACTGGTTCGAGTCCCGGCTGCTTCACTACCAATCTGGCTCTCTGCTGTAGCCTGGGAAAGCAGTGGAAGATGGGCCAAGTCCCTGGGCCTTTGCACCCATGTGGGAGACCCGGAAGGGACTCCTGGCTCCTGGCTTTGGATCAGCACAGCTCTAGCCATTTGCAGCCATCTGGAGAGTGGACCAGCGGATGGAAGGCCTCTCTCTCTCTCTCTCTCTTTCTCTGCCTCTGCCTCTCTGTACCTCTGCCTTTAAAATAAATAAGTAAATAAATCTTAAAAAAAAAAAAGAAAGGATATCTTAGAGAAGACATAGAGTTATAAATCATAATGGAAATCATGAAAACCATAATGGAAATACTGGTCAGTTTGACTACATTAAAACAAAACACTCTGTACCACAAGAAAAAAGGAAAAATGAAAAATAGACTTGATTAAGAAAAACAATTTGAAATGTAAATAATAATTAACAAAGGACTTTAATAAAAAATCTAGAAACTTTCAGTATTAAACTGCATTTAAAATAAATGCACAAGTATAGCTATCCATATTCTTAAATCTTTAAAACAAGATACTGAGGGGCCGGTGCTGTGGTGCAGTGGGTTAACACCCTGGCCTGAAGCACCAGCATCCCATATGGGCGCTGGTTTGAGACCCAGCAGCTCCACTTCCAATCCAGCTTTCCATGATGGTCTGGGAAAGCAGTACAAGATGGCCCAAGTCCTTGGGCTCCTGCACCGCGTGGGAGAGCCGGAAGAAGTTCCTGGCTCCTGGCTTCAGACTGGCACAGCTCCGGCCATTGCAGCCAATTGGGGAGTGAACCATCTGATGGAAGACCTCTCTCTCTCTGTCTGCCTCTCCTCTCTCTGTGTAACTCTGAATTTCAAATAAATAAATAAATCTTTTAAAAAAAGATACTGAATACAAAAGTAAATGCTGTATATTGTGTGATATGCCATTTATATATAAAAGTGAAACTTAACTAGCAAAATACAACAAATAAAATAATTAATGCCTAAATAACCTCCATCTTTCAAGAGCTTCAACACCATATTCCCCTTCTTACCTTTCATAGTCTTGTCTAGCTCTTCAACATTTAACATATTATGTAGTAAGTGATTTATATGCTAACATCATCTGTCTTTGCATGTGGTCTGTTTTTCATAACATTTTAATTAAGTTAATGTTAGTTTTAATATGTAGTTCTATTCCTCCATCTTTCAGTAAAGTGAAGGCTATGGAGTTGAAATTTTACAGTTACTAACTTCCTTGTCTTGACTGTCGAGGAACAGTTTCCTTTTTTGTTTTTGTTTTTTCATTTTTTTTCATACTATTTGTTGAAGTCTTTACTTAACATAGAGTTAATCATATGTGTATAAAATCAATTGAAAATAGATCTCAGTAAAAAATAAGAGTGGGAATAAAAGAGGGAGGAGGAAGTTTGAATAAGCTTCTTATTCCAGTCTCTCTTTCCCCACCCTCAGGAACTTCTAAGATGTATGCTCTGGCCACTGCTCCAGGGTGGGGCAAGAGTCCAGGGTGACACCCAAGTTGGGCAAAAACACTAAATTTTTTTTAAAAAGATACGCAGTTTGGCCGGCGCCATGGCTCACTAGGCTAATCCTCCGCCTGTGGTGCCGGTACCCCGGGTTCTAGCCCCGGTTGGGGCTCCGGATTCTGTCCTGGTTGTCCCTCTTCCAGGCCAGCTCTCTGCTGTGGCCCGGGAGTGCAGTGGAGGATGGCCCAAGTGCTTGGGCCCTGCACCCGCATGGGAGACCAGGAGGAAGCACCTGGCTCCTGGCTTTGGATCGGCGCAATGCACCGGCCATGGCGGCCATTTGGGAGGTAAACCAACAGAAGGAAGACCTTTCTCTTTGTCTCTCTCACTAACTCTGCCTGTCAAAAAAAAAAAAAGATACACAGTTAATGTTTGTAATTCAGTCAGTAAAAAAAAAACTTAAAAGTCTAGGGACAGTCATTGGCAGAAATTACAATGAGAGCACTTCAAAAAGTGTATGGAAAATGCAGTTAAAAGATGTTAGTTTTGGTGCTAAAATATTTTAAATCCTTGCAGAGTTTTTTTTAAAGATAGGCTTATTTATTTATTTATTTACTCATTTATTTATTTATTTGAAAGGCAGAATTAGAGAGAGGTTCATCCTCCAAATGGCTGCCATGGGCAGACTGTGCCAGGAGTTTATCTGGGTCTCCCAATTGGGTGCAAGGGCCCATGCACTTGGGCCATCTTCTGCTGCTTTCTCATGCACTTTAGCAGGGAGCTGGATCAGAAGTGGAACAGCTAGGGCTTCAACTGGCACCCATAAAGGATGCCAGCATCACAGACAGTGGCTTTACCTGCTATACCACAACACGAGGCCTCACATAGTTTTTTCTTAATACATGTTTTCCATGAACTTTATGAAGACTCCTTGTATAATGAATAACTGCTTTATGTAAGATACCTAATTAGGTGGTAGTTAGAAATATAAAAAGCTTAAGAACTCATACTTCTTCACTCCCCAGTTGGCCCTAACAGCCAATGCTGGGTCAGGCCGAAGCCATGAGCTTCATCTGGGTCTACCGTATGATGGCAGAGGCCCATCTGCTGCTGCTTTTCCCAAGCCATTAGCAGGAACTGGATCCAAAGTGGAGCAGCTGGGACATGAACTGGCACCCAGTTGGGATGCCAGGAGCTGCAGCTTTAAATCCACTAAGCCATGACACAGCCCCGTGAACTTAAATTTTAACTGTTTATTTGCAACTTCTTTTTTTAGGTTTTCTCACTGTCTTGTAGAGAGCTTAATAATAGGCTTTTAAAAATTTGTGGACCTAATGGAAACAAACCTTAAATTAAGGAAATTAAGAATTGAGCCTTTGGGGCCGGCGCTGTAGCAGAAGCCCCTGGCTCCTGGCTTTGGATCAGCCCAGCACTGGCTGCTGAGGCCATTTGGGGAGTGAGCCAATGGACAGAAGACCTCTCTCTGTCTCTCCCTCTCTTTGTCTGTAACTCTGCCTCTGAAATAAATAAATAAAATCTTAAAAAAAAAATTGGAGCCATAAGATACTCCATAACCTTCGTAAGAAGCATAAACTTCTTAATGGCTTTTAGATTATGCTAAACACAGCAGGTAAACGTTTAGTGAAATGATTTTTAAGATAATCCTAAATAAAAACACCTCTTTTACAAAAACAACTATAGAAACATTATAAACAAAATTTGTAGGAAAATGAATTTTGATATAATATAAATTACTGCAATGCATGTTTAAACTAGGCTACTTTCAATTGAATATTAGTGTACTGAATGCAGATATTACATTCAGGTTTTCTTCACTGTTATTTACTTGAATATTTGTGCTTTGACAGCATTGTTTTCAGCTTAGGTTAAACTTGTTTTGAATTTTTTTCATTTTATTAGGTATCGTATTGAAGGGATAATTCCAGAATCAACAACTAAACTATCTGATTTCCTCTACCAACCTGGAAACAGAGTTACATGGGATAAATCATTGAAAGTGTACAATATGGTACACAGGATAGATTCGGTAATACATTGTTTAACATTATTCTTTTACTGTATTGATATATTTTTAGTTTTATATCTTAGCGTGTTGAGTTTATTAAAACTATATTATATAGACAGTTAAGTATTTTGTGGATTCAACTTGAGTTGAACTCTTTATAAAAAGTCTTAGAACTTCCCTCTTTATGCATCAAGGTTTCAATTCCAATTAGCTTTATTCTGTTTGTAAATGCATAGCGCATTCTGAATCTGGTAAGCTGTCATACTGTCCCACCTTTTGTTAGGAGAGAATGAACTCCCAGGTGTGGAAAACAAATATTAAGCATGCCTTGTTGATGGGAAATTAGTAGATTTATCTTAGTCATTTTACATTAAAAAATGGGAACAACACAGACACAAATGTAGGGACTTTAAAACAAACAATAGGGCCAGCGCTGCGGCTCGATAGGCTAATCCTCTGCCTGAGGCGCCGCCACACCGGATTCTGTCCCGGTTGCCCCTCTTCCAGTCCAGCTCTCTGCTGTGCCCCCAGGAGTGCAGTGGAGGATGGCCCAAGTCCTTGGGCCCTACACCCACATGGGAGACCAGGAGAAGCACCTGGTTCCTGGTTTCGGATCAGCGCTGCGCACCGGCTGCAGTGGCCATTGGGGGGTGAACCAACGGAAAAAAAAGGAAGACTTTTCTCTCTCTCTCACTGTCCACTCTGCCTGTCAAAATAAATAAATAAATAAATAAATAAAGCATTTAAGATTCAGGAAAAAATAAAAAGCCAGAAAATAATGTATAGAAAGTTGTGGTTTATGTACATTTTCAAATATATTATCTCAGTTAAATCAACGTGAAGAGAGAAAATAAAACAACAAGAAAAGAAAATATAGGTAATTGGAATAGAAAGTTGAAGACATGTAAGAAAAAGGAAGACAGAGTGAGGGAGGCAAGTAAGGTTTAGAAAAGGAGAGAAGATCAACATGGAGTGAGGATGGAGGGAAAGTGCAGGAGACCACAGTGAGTGAAATGAGAGAGGAGAAAACACACATGATAAAAAGAGACAGAAATACAGAAAAGAAAGTAGGGTAGGGGCTTCTGAAATTGGTAAAGTACACTATTGATCTTTCATCCATGGAGGCTGCTAGAAAAATAACTACCTGGAAGAGGTGATCATTCTCTTGTAATATTTTAAAATTTATTCTCCATGTGTCATTTTTTTGTATTTTTTCCCTCTTACAAATTTTTTTGGTGGGAGAATCCTGACCTTGTTCCTGACCAGTCCCAGACAGATGTTTGTTGTTTTGACTAATTAGTTCATTCCATAAATACATTTGAGCTCCAACTGTGAACTATGAACTGTTTCAAACCCCAGGGATATATAAGGGAACAGGGAAGAGCCTAAATTCTGGTCAGATGTAATAGACAAGTAGACACTTTTTAAAAAATAGCAGATAGAGGGCCGGCGCCGTGGCTCACTAGGCTAATCCTCCGCCTTGCGGCGCTGGCACACCGGGTTCTAGTCCCGGTCGGGGCACTGGATTCTGTCCCGGTTGCCCCTCTTCCAGGCCAGCTCTCTGCTGTGGCCAGGGAGTGCAGTGGAGGATGGCCCAAGTACTTGGGCCCTGCAACCCATGGGAGACCAGGAGAAGCACCTGGCTCCTGCCATCGGATCAGCATGGTGCACCGGCCCCAGCGGCCATTGGAGGGTGAACCAACGAAAAAAAAAAAAAAAAAAGGAAGGCCTTTCTCTCTGTCTCTCACTGTCCACTCTACCTGCCAAAAAAAAAAAAAAAAATAGCAGATAGATTCATAGGTATTATGAAGGCTGTGATAGGTAAGAATTCGTATTTGGAAGGATAATATTCATGTAAAGTCAATGAATGGAGAGTCTAACCAGCGAAAGCCTCTGTGAATGTGAGATAAATAAGTTGAAACCTGAATAACATAATGAAGGTGAGGGAGGCACACATGCAAAGATCCAGGAGAGAGTAGAGGAGGATTACCACCTCTGGTATTAAGGGCGTGGACAACCATATAACACCTGATGCTGGATAAATGAGATGGACAGCAGTTCATTAGTCACTGATCATAGGCCTGCAGAGGAGAACACACAATGCCACACAGAGCCACATGAGAACAGAGTGAATATGCAGGGGCTGCAGGATGCAGGCTTTCTAGTGTCACAAGACTCCTGGTTCCCATAGGAGGATGTGATAGACCTTTCTGGATAATTCTGCAGGCCAACAGGGAACTGTGAAAGCCATTCAATAAGGATGCATAGATTGTGCTGGGTTGTTTGGGTAGGGGATCTTAGCTACAGGAAAAGAGCAACCGAGAACTTGAAGTTGGCGTTTCACAACCCTCCCAGTTTCACCAGATATCAAACAGCAGATGATGATGGTCTTTAATTTTAGGCATTGCACCACGATGTAGTAAATCAATGTGTTTTTCAGAATAAATTACCTGACCAATGTGAAGTGGAAATGGTATTGTGCTGGTAATCAGGAAACCTGGGCTCTCGTTCTGCCCCATACTCTAGTTGTGATCACAGTTTTATCTGTTAGGTGCCGATTTCTCCATGTAAAAACTCAAAGAGTAGTTGATCTCAAGGTTGCTTTCTGAATTCTACACTCATAATTATAGATCTAAATGTTCTTTTTTTTTTTTTTTTTTTTTTTTTTTTTTGACAGGCAGAGTGGACAGAGAGAGAGACAGAGAGAAAGGTCTTCCTTTTTTTGCCGTTGGTTCACCCTCCAGTGGCCACCGAGGCCGGCGCGCTGCGGCCGGCACACCACGCTGATCCGATGGCAGGAGCCAGGTACTTCTCCTGGTCTCCCATGGGGTGCAGGGCCCAAGCACTTGGGCCATCCTCCACTGCACTCCCTGGCCACAGCAGAGAGCTGGCCTGGAAGAGGGGCACCGGGACAGAACCGGCGCCCCGACCGGGACTAGAACCCGGTGTGCCGGCGCCGCAAGGCGGAGGATTAGCCTAGTGAGCCGCGGCGCCGGCCTAAATGTTCTTTCAACACTGCAAATTCAAGCGGATTTGGTAATGTCTTAAACTTCAAAATGCTGCTTTTTCCAAATAAAGAGCAACCTTGTGCAATGAAATCCTTTGGAAACAATCAAAGCATAGATGTTAATTAGTTACTGCAATCTTTATGGTTTGATTTGTTACAGGACACATTCATATGTCACACCATTACACAAAGTTTTGCTATGGGCTCAATTTCCCCCCGAGACTTTATCGACCTAGTATACATCAAGCACTACGAAGGGAATATGGACATTATCAGTTGTAAGTTGAAACATTTTGTCCACATTTTGGAATTACTGTGAGTCATTAATAAATTTTCCCCTAAATTTTAGCTATAGTTTAGAAAAATTATATTTTCAATTATTTTATTTTTCTTATTTATTCAGTGGGACCAACAAGTATGTGTATGCTTTAGATAACCCTGATATTTTACCCAATTCTAGAGGTGCCATTTATATAATAATCCATAATTATGGCCTCTCCTGGACTTCTGCAGCATATATTCTGCTCTACTGGGAATCTACAGATACTTATAGGCTAAAACTTCAAGGTGTACATTTTTTTAATTGTAAGACATCAAATTAATTAGGGGATATATGATGTATTTCAATTTCTTAGAATGGGCCTATCTGCTAAATGATTAGGCTATTTAAACAATTTCCACTATATAGGATTTTACATAAATATGCGTATATGTATTTTAGAAACTTGAAGTTTTGATATAACCCTAGCTGCCTTCCCTCAAATGTGTTTGTCTGTAAAATAAAAATGTGTAACTATTTCTTAACTTGTGTCATTGGCTCAAAATATACCACTTCACATGATAAGAATCTTTGGACTCTGATAACTTGAGATAACTCATGACAAAGGGACTTTGTAAAAACATTGGCATAAAGCTATTTTTCCTCTATAATTTAATTTAACCTTACCACCCCTATTTGAATAGTTTCTCCTACTGTAAACTACTTGGAGATAGGGACGATTAAGTTTTGTTAATTACTTCCTAGCAAGATTTCAGTTCCTCTGCAATGGCTGTACTACTCGTCAGTTTCAGACTCCAGGTTGAGTCACAGCACTCACTCAAACCCATGTATGTTTAGTTGTCTCAATTTTAAAGTAAGGCCAAAAAAAACATTCACTGCTGACAACACAAAATACTGTTTCTGAATCATAGATCTATTATTATCCATATATTGAAGGCAACCTATTTCTGTCTCATTATTAGCAGCCAAAGGGAAGCTAAAAAAGAAACACAGAGGTTAAAAGCAACAACTAGAGACAGAATCAGTCATTTAGTACACAGATCACTAGTGAATTTGCTGTAAGGAATTTCCATTGAATGAATAGTCAATGAGTATTCATAGTTTTCTTATTAATGTTTCTTTTTTTTAGCTGACTCTGCACCTTGGTTGAGCTATGTATTTTACATACATTATCTCACTAATGAGTAAACTAAAATTAACAGAAATAAGACAGTTAAGAAATTAAGTTGCATAGCTGATGAGCAGCTGAACCATAAGTAAAACTCAGATCTTTCTGTTTTTCCACAGTAGTGCTACCTACTATACCATATGCCTCAGTGAAGACCCATAGCTGTCTACAAGAATACAACAGAGCTGGCTTTTTTTTTTTAATTTATTTATTTGAAAATCAGAGTTTCAGAGAGAGATCCACCATCCACTGGTTCAATACTTAAGTGGCTGCAATGGCCAGGGCTGAGCCAGGCCAATGCCAGGAGCTTCTACCAGCCTCCCACATAGGTGTCAGGGGCCCAAACAGTTGGGCCAATCTCTGCTGCTTTTCTCAGGCCATTAGCAGGGAACTGCATCAAAAGTGGAGCATCCAGGATACAAACCAGCACCTTTATGGGATGCTGGTGATGCAGGCAGCAGCTCTACTTACCATGCCACAATGTCGGCCCCTACAACAGATTTTTTAAAAAGACAAGATAATCTCCATATATTAAACATTAACATATAATATTTTAATATCACTCTGGCAGTACCTTTATGCCAACATAAAAGACTTGGTAAGAATGATACAGGTCATAAAGATGGAAAATTCATTTAGCCACATTATTCTAAGCAAATGGTTCAAATTTTATTTCCCACAGAACTGATTGTTAATATAATACAGAAAAATCAGCCGGCGCCGTGGCTCAATAGGCTAATCCTCCACCTTGCGGCGCCGGCACACCGGGTTCTAGTCCCGGTTGGGGCGCCGGATTCTGTCCCGGTTGCCCCTCTTCCAGGCCAGCTCTCTGCTATGGCCAGGGAGTGCAGTGGAGGATGGCCCAGGTGCTTGGGCCCTGCACCCCATGGGAGACCAGGAAAAGCACCTGGCTCCTGGCTCCTGCCAGGATCAGCGCGGTGCGCCGGCTGCAGCGGCGGCCATTGGAGGGTGAACCAACGGCAAAGGAAGACCTTTCTCTCTGTCTCTCTCTCTCACTGTCCACTCTGCCTGTCAAAAAAAAAAAAAAAAAAAAAAAAAAAAAAAAAAAATATATATAATACAGAAAAATCCATTTTCTCTGACAACAGCAGGATTCAGTTACGCAAATATACTGATACTTTAAAAAAAAGTTTTGGAAAGTATATATATCATAATTTAATTACATTCAAATGACCACTTTCTGCATTCACATACAATCAGTATATACTATGTTCTGAAATTTCTAAAACAAATGTATTAGTTTTTTATTTAGCTACAGGAATTTGGCAGAAGGCTTTTTTATTTATTTTATTTATTAGAGAGAGAGTTCCCATTTGCTGGTTCACTCCTCAAATGCCAGCAATGGAAGCCAGGAGCCAGGAACTCACTCCAGGTCTTTCACATGAGTGGCAGAGATGAGTTACCTGAACGAGTTACTGTCTCCCAGGGTCTGCATTAGCAGGAAGCAAGAGTTAGGGTCAGGGATTGAACCAAACTACTTCAGTTTGGGATGTGAGAATCTTAACAGCCATGCCCAATACCCACCCCAGAAGGAGACATTTTAAATTATTTTTATTGACAGATACCTAATCACTTAATACTTTACTTAAAATTAACATAAACTGGCATTGTGGCACAGTGGGTTAAGCCATCGCATGCAACACTGGCATCCGGTAAGAGCTCCAGGTCCAGTCCCACCTGCTCCACTTCTGATCCAGTGATCCAGTCCTGGGAAGGCAGTGGGAGAAGGTCTAAGTGCTTGGGTCCCTGCCACCCACATGGGAGAACAGATGGAGATCCTGGTTCCTGGCTTTGGCCTGGACCTCATCTGGCCATTGTAACCATTTGGGGAGTGAATTGGTGAATCAAAGATCACTGTCTCTTTCTCTGTAACTCTGCCTTTCAAATAAATAAATATTTGAAAATAAATAAATAAATATTTGAAATGTTTTTTAAAAAATTAACAAGAAAAAAAAAATTTGTGAGCCCATAGCTCACATAGTCTTTTTCTTTGTGATTTCTTCTTTGGCTTCAAATCTCAGAAGATAATTGATACTTTTAACATTTTTTTTTTCCTGGAAACAAAAGTGACAGAAATTTTGGATGTACTAGCAGGAAAGTTTGAGAGGACGATAATGCTCATGGGTTGGCTTTTCTCAATTTTGGTTTATGTGCACATTCCGACTCATGTGTACAAACACACACATACGTGTAAAACCAGTGGTAATGCTGAGAACTAAGACAGAAATCTATATACTTTTTGAAAAGATATCCCTCAAAATACTTTTTAATCTTTGTGGAATAGGTTTCATTTTCACTTCTTTTAATTATGTAGCTAAAAGTGTGGATTTTCCAGAATATCCTCCAACTTCAAATTATATTCGTGGTTATAACCATCCTTGTGGCTATGTGTGTTCACCTCTGAAAGAGTAAGTGTGACTTGCATTTATTTACTTTAACAGGTTTTTTTTTTACTTAGTTCAAGATTCCTAGCTCATCAGTAAAAAATATGTCAGTATATTCTGTTCAGAAATAGAAAGCTAAATATGAATTTTAAAATAACTCTTGAACTAACCCTGTGAAGTAAGTAGTATTGCTGTGCTCAATTTGCAGAAAAGAAAGTAGAGTCCAGAGAGATTAAGTAACTTTCACAAGGTTATACATAGCTCAGTTTCAAGCCAAGGCTTATTCCTGAGTTCACGCTTTTAATCAGTACACCCATTTTGTTTAACTGTGGATGCATATTACTAATAAAAGGAGACAGCATTCAATGTCATATCTATTCCTAGTTTTCATTTGCTAAATATAAGAACTGAGAAACGTATTCATATAAGTAGTTTATAGCACTGTCAATCAGTGGATTAAAATCCTTCTAAATTGTATACCATAAATCATACAGTGACCTATCATCACAAATATTTTTAATGACCTGCCTGCTAATAACACAATTAGATCCTTAAATGTTTTTGAAAAAAAGGAATTGACATGACTTGGGAAAGGATTTATTACCCAGTCATTATTCATTTTCTTTTTCAACAAACTTACAATAGCATCTGAAAGCTTTGTATATGCTAGGGTAAAACACTGTAGTACATTCAATATTACTTTGTGTGGACAACTGTGCCATTATTCTGTAAAGTAAGAGAAGGGTGATTGTGAACAGGCTGATGGGGGGAAAGCCTACATCTCAGAGCCATTTTCTCAGATAGGGTTGAGGAAAAATGCATATGGAAGTTAGGGATTTGAAAATTCATTCATTTAAAGGTATTTATCCTCCAAAACCCCAGCTTAAAGATCACTGGGTTTGAATATAAAATATTGGTCTTTTTAGAGGAAAATTCGCAAATAACATGTCAAAATGTTAAACGTAATAACCTTTCACCTAGACATTCTAAGTATAAAAGTGCAAAGAGATACATTACCAAGATTTGGTTTCGCAGTTTCATTTATAGTAACAAAATATGGAACAACCTGAATGATAGTAAAAGAACTATTATTGAGTATGAAATGCTATATGTGGTTCTGAAAAACAAGCAGATCCGTATGAATAAACAGAAGGAAGTACATGACAGTCTTTTAAGAGGAAAATGAAACTGGTTGCAGGAAAATGAACATACCTTTTTTTTTTTTTTTTTTTTGACAGGCAGAGTGGATAGTGAGAGAGAGAGACAGAGAGAAAGGTCTTCCTTTGCCGTTGGTTCACCCTCCAATGGCCGCCACAGCCGGCACACCGCGCTGATCCGAAGGCAGGAGCCAGGTGCTTCTCCTGGTCTCCCATGGGGTGCAGGGCCCAAGCACTTGGGCCATCCTCCACTGCCTTCCCGGGCCACAGCAGAGAGCTGGCCTGGAAGAGGGGCAACCGGGACAGAATCCGGCGCCCCGACCAGGACTAGAACCCGGTGTGCTGGCGCCGCTAGGTAGAGGATTAGCCTATTAAGCCGTGGCGCCGGCCCATACCTCATTTTCCAACAACAAAAAATAACTGTGTATGTAGAGTCCATATACATATATGTACACAGGGATACTATCTTTGCACAATATATCCATAGACAACCATCTGAAAAGAAACAGTTAAAACTGTAAACAGTGATTATCACTGGGGGCCAGAATAAGGGGAAATTCTATTGTTTTTATAATATGCATATACACTTTTATAATTTTAAAAGTCAAATGACAGAAAACGAAAGGTGCCTAACTAAAGGTTTGAAGATATAGTCTAATGTTGGTTGTATGTAAAATTTTCATAAGGATATTTCTGCAAATCATTCTTTTTTTCCTTCCTTCTTTCCCTTGTTCACTATTCTATCATAAGTCCTGTAGAGAGAATCAATGGTGAATAAGATAAGAATTATATTCTCTATAAACTTGCAAATTCAATAGATAAGCCTAAAATTCTTCTTTTTTAACTCTTCCTTTGCTTAAAGAAACCCAGCACATTCCAAACTAGTGATGTTCGTCCAGACAGAATTGAAAGGAAAACTATCTCCAACAATAATTGAAAAATCTATGCCTTCCAACTTAGTAAACTTCATCCTCAATGCAAAAGATGGAATAAAGACACACAAAACTCCATCAACACGTGATTACCATCATAGTGGTCATACATCATTCCAAAGGAGGAAATGAGGCCATTCTGCTACGAAAGCGTGTGCAGCATTATTGCAGTTTACTTCTAAGTCGACATGCAAAAATGCTGTGAAACTGTTCTACACTGTATTCTTATACAAATTACTGAAGATTCGTATGAAAACAAGAACTTACAACTGTGCAAGAAAGCAGCATTAAATATAGTTTTTAATCTCATATAAGAATGATGTTAAATAACCAGTGTTGTTAGTACACTGTTATTATTTGGTTTTGTTCCTTGGAAAAATGCTCTGTATAAGAATCAGTAAGAAAGCAGATAGTCAGAAGTCAGTGTTCATTAAAGATTAAAATACACTTTGAATTGTTTTTTCTTCACTGACTGCTTAAACTGGTAATTGTAGGAAATATGAACATAAAAATTGAAAGGAATTCCACGAAAATGTGTGGTCAATGACATTTAGAATTGAAAATTGAATGAGTCATGGATCAATGTCTGGTTAACATGTTCAGCTGATTCCACCCGAGTCCATACAACTAAAAGGCCCTACATATAGCACAAACAAGCATAGGAAATTTAAGTGTAGGTGGAAAGTAGGCAGCAAACTGTGGGCTTTGGGATTTGAGGAATGGCATTCAATGAGTTATCTGGGTTTCCTTATTGACTTTCAAATATTTCAGGGCACGTCAGAAGCCTCCAACCAGGCATCACTGATGGGCACAAACCAAAAATAAAAGCAAAACCAAAAACCTGCCCTAAAAAGCCTGTTCCTGTTAGCTATAAGGTCAGGAAACAATATAGCCTAACAGAGCCAAAAAAAGAAAAAAAAAATGTTGACACTACCCACCCTATGTCAGCCAAACATCAACCTAAAAACTGCATCCACTCCAGCCCCTTGGTTTCAGTGAGGCAGAACTCCTATCCCATAGAAACAAGTAGTGGTACTCTGACACCTCGCTCTGTGGCCCCAGTCACATTCTTTCCACATGCAGAATACTGGCACTCACACCCAAGACTGCCAGATGTCTCCTGATCAATCACAATATCAGTCTGGAAGCCTGGGATTTCATATGTGTCGCATCCAGATGCAGGTGCTCTGGATCCAGAGACCTGCGAAATAGAAAGTACCTGCCCCCTGCCTCAACACACACACACACACACACACACACACACTATACAGTAATCAGTAGGAAACAGGATAATCATAAAAATACATTAGAAAAGGGAAAGATTGGGAAGCAGATAGTCACTGGTTCATCAGAAGTCTGATATCCCATTGGGCCCATCATTCTGGCGGTGGGAAAATATTCCCTGACCAGGCTCCACTTCACTCAGCAGGAGCTGCTTCCACGCCCCCCCCTTTTCCAGTATTCTCCTTTAATCTTCCTGAAGAAATGATCATGGTAAAAAACTGGGTAGCTTTCTCAGGCTGCTTCCTATGCAAAGAAAGCTAGAGGCTCAGAGGCATTTTTATAGCTTAAACTTTTAGTCCAAGCACTTGTTTTTGCTAGTGCCAGTCCCTTTAAAACAGCTTTCCGTGTTTGATTATGGTCTACCATACATCATGGTCTCCCACACATCCAAAAGTCAGCACCTCTAAGTGGTACCAACATGCTTCTCCAGATTTTCCTACACTTACCTTTGAGTCAGGCTTCTGGAGAACATTAACCTACTTGAGATGCTCTACTCTGTACCACCTTAACACTTCCAGAGGTTTGCACAAAGTACTTAATAGTCTAGTTTACATTTTATATTTGACCTGTGTTCATTTCTTAACTTTGAAAATTTGCTCTGTGGAGAGGCTGATGAAAAGACAACAGTTCTACCTGCCAGCTGAATAGCTCCTAACTCTTCTATTTAAATCAAAGAGCTGGGATGCCAGCTCTGTGGCATAATAAGTAAAGCCACCACCTGTGGTGCTGGCATCCCATATGGGCGCTGAGTCCTGGCTGCTCCACTTCCGTTCCAGCCCTCTGCTGTGGTCTGGGAAAGCAGAGGAAGGTGGCCAAAGTCCTTGGGCCTCTGCACTCATGTGGGAGACACAGGGGAAGCTCCTGGCTCCTGACTTCAGATCGGCCCAGCTCTGGCCATTGCGGCCATTTGGGAAGAGACAGCAGATAGAAGACCTCTCTCTCTCTCTCTCTCTCTCTCTCTCTGACTCTGCCTCTCTGTAATTCTACCTTTCAAATAAATAAATAAATAATAAAATAATATAAAATAAATTGAATAAATTGAAGAGCTTTCAAATTGCCCAGCTCTGTTTTTTAAAAGCTTAACTTTATTATAGTACTTGAAGCCTATACAGTTAAGTGCCACCAGGTGGAGCTTTCTACATTTTTTTCTGGAGAGATGCTAGGTCAAGGCCAAAAGCTCATGGGTACATTTTCTGTTTTCCAAGGGATCACAGGAAGCTATTTGACCAAATGTTTCATAACAGCATCTAAAAGCCATCTCCTCACCTTATTTACATCCTCTGTTAACAGTTTTCTCATTCTCAATCCTCTACTGTCCAAAAACCTAAATGAGCTGTGTTGTGTAACCCTCCACTTCTAGGTGCCAACCTTTATAGGTGCCAACCTTTATAGCCATTATCTATTATTAAAATATCACAAAATAACCACAGTTTCTTTTGGTTGTTGGCTTAGAAAGAAAGAAAGGGGGCATGCATTCAGCCTAGCAAGTAAGACACCAGTTGGGATGCCTCCATCCTTTCAGAGTAAACTGGGTTCAATTCTGTGATCTACATCTTAAATCCAGCTTCCTATTCACACAGACTCTGGGGGTCTCAAGTAATTGTATTCCTGCCACCCAAATGGGAGATCTGGAATGAGTTCCCCCCTTCTTTGGCCCCAGCCCAGCCCTGGCTCTTCCAGGCATTTGGGAAGTGAACCAGAAGAAGGGAGTGCATGCATGTATATACATTTCATCATTAAATGATTAGCTGATGTGCTATCTCAGTGTTCATATTACTATTGACCTCTTTCTCTAGTGAATAATTTGGAAGTTGCTAATAATTATTTTGTATATAAAATTAATGGATTACACAATCATCTATACTTCAACTTGTTTGCAATAATAAAAATTATTTTGATGGAATTACAACAGAAAGATCAGGAAATGTTTTGGGTAGCATCTAGAATGTTTATAAATAGTTGAAGTAAATATTCAAATTTTAATGATAAATCTAAATATGATGTCTTTGTTTTTGTTATTGAAACCAGTAATGCTGGTTAGATGTAATCTACATGATCACATAATTTCATGAGATGCTACAAAGGATGCTAAAGTCATTTAGTTATTCAGTCACTCAGAAGCCAAATAATTTAATTCGGCTGAACACTTTTAGCTAGTGCTGAACTTGAGGCCATTCCTTATCTATATACTGAGAGTATTGCCTCCAAATTCTTTTTATTGCTGGGGTGTCATATAAAAATTGATGATACTCAACTAGATCATGATGGTCTAAGTCTAAAGATGAAATATTCTACTGTCAACATAAATTTTTCTAACTCAGTATTAATACAGATGCTCAAAAAGTTCATGGAAATAGAATTTAAAGATAGATTTATTTTGGTCCAAAAAATTGAAATTCATGCACAGTTTTTTCATAAAACACATTTCTCATAAGCTATTTGAAAACCCCCTCATACATATTATTTCAAAACCTTTTATACCAAAATAAACTTATCTTTTAATTCCATTTTTCATGAACTTTTTGAGTACCCTCGTATATCCACAACATTTAGTTTAGATAAATCAGCTGCAGGCTGGATCCCATTACAGCAGAAATTTGTAATTTACTCAAAATTACCACTGCAACACAGCTCTACTATATTATCCACCTTTATAAGCCCAATGAAAATTTCCTTACATATATGTGAACATACTGTATATATCTGCAAACATACACACACACATCCATATATTTGACAGACACTGTGCACTGACTTCCATTCTACCCTGCTTCTAGTTGGAGAGGTTTGGAAAGCTTAAAAAGATGCACATACAACCTAATTTGCAACCAGAAGACTAGATCAGTCATCAAGGTGCACTGGATGAAATGAGAGCTAAAATAGAGGCTTAATTTTTTGCTGCTTATGCTGGCTGGAAAGGACAAGGAAAGGGAGGTTTTTCTTTTTTTTTTAATTTTTTTAATTTATTTATTTTATTTATTTTTTGACAGGCAGAGTGGACAGTGAGAGAGAGAGATAGAGAGAAAGGTCTTCCTTTTGCCTTTGGTTCACCCTCCAATGGCCACCGCGGCTGGCGTGCAGCGGCCAGCACACCACGCTGATCTGTAAAGGGAGGTTTTTCTTCGGTGTTTCAGTGTCCACTTACCAGATCCTTGTGTGCCAGAAGGCGGTGCATCAACATAAGAGGCACCAGCAGCTTCTCAATTCCTGGTCCCTGAGCACAAATCACAAATGTAGGTAGCTGTTTCCCAGCCTTCCAGATGTCATAGAAGTAGTGAGAATGGTGAAAACATATTGAGTTCAAATTCTTCAATCTATTGTCCTATGAAAGGCTTTAAAAAAATTTAGTTTCTCTGATGGTTGATTCCATATGGTCCTGATTTGTCTCTGGAAGCCAAGCCTAGAACTCACTCCTTTAGCACCTCAGTGATTTTGTAACTATTTAATTCACTATATTAAATCCCTTGTTGCTTAAGATATATATATATGGCCATCCCACTTTCCTGACCAATACATTTGAAAGAAGTTTATATTTTTCTCAGATTTCAGTATACCTTAAAATATTTTTTCAAAATATTAAGATACTACTTTATCTAATATATAGTAAGTATAACATAGTAAGGACTCAAATATCACCAAATTATGAGAGTCTCATATCTATATGTGAAATGCACAATCCTGTTTGTGAGCTAAAATTAACATGAATCAACTTTTTAGGAGAACAAGGCTCAAGGGAGAATATATTTCCTTTTTCCAGAAAAAAATATAGTATTGTGAGATGACAGGGTACAAGAGAAGTCCACACAATCCTCATAATTTGTTTACAAGTGGTGGCAGTATACAGAGGAGAGAAATGTGATAAGAAAACATAAAATCATTAAACCCAGGTTTGCAGATAGAAGACCAAACTTTGGGCCCACACAGGGTGATGACTGAAATGCAACTGCCTGGCAACTTTAAAGAGCTATACTTTTTGCAAAATAGTGACCCAGAAAAATGATTCAATCACAAAATATCAGACATATGATTTGGCAGGAAAAGTATCCCCTGAAAATCCATGCCCTCAATCTGCCCTTATCTGAGGTTTAATTTATTAAAATGAGAAATAAAACTGCTATAATCCAAAAGCTGTACCTATGAAATTTATATTTATTAAATAAGAGCTTTCTATTTGTATAAAAAAAGAGGGAAATAAAAGTCCATGCTTGCAAGCTGTTGGCAGAAGCAAGTACAAATATTTTCTGGAGAGACATCCTCATCCACACCTATATGAGTCCCACAAAGCCTAGCAAACATGAGCATACCCTGTGAAATCACAAAGCACATCAAGGAGAAGGCCAAGCACACTTGAGTTGTCTGCAGGAAAAAACAGAGTCCCCCACCAAAGAATTCAGACGTGTGTTACTTAATATAGAATAAAAGTGTGTTAAAACCATAAGTAAAAGCATGAGTAATAAATCAGGTTCAGTACAGTAGTATATGGAAAATATCCAAGCAGTTGTAAAGGAATGATAGAACTTCTGTATCATTCTAGGAATAGTGTACAGTTGAGACAGTTTAAGCAGAAAGGGATGGATTTATATGAATAAATTAGGTACTTAGAACATTATTTGGAAAAGTAGGAAGAAAGTTATAGGCCTGAGAGACGCCCCCAAGTATACCATGCAGGAGTTCTAACAGGGGAGAAACTATAATTAAGGCAACATTGGAGCTATTAAAAGCAAGAACATTCTAAAAATGTTATAGCACAGATGTAAATCAAGTATGAATAAGTTGTTACCTTTGCTTCTACAAATATTTCTTGACATCCATAAGCTGATAACCAAGCACCGGAACAGAAAGCCCAGTCACTAGCTCTATAACAACATTTTCTCTCTCTCTTAATCCCCACAAAACCAGGAATACTAAGGAATGTTACTCTACAAGTGATTCATCTTTGCACCTTGTCAGCAGAAAATAAATAAGAAGAGAGCCTCTACATTCAAGTTTTGTGGGCATGTATCTAACTGGTAAGACCTAATTTCTACCCTGAAGACTCATAATGTATTAATGCTAAAGGGACTTGGTAAGGAGGAGGAGGAGGTGAAAACTCAGAGAAGCAGTTTCCTGGAATCACTTCCCAACTCTGAAAAAAGGCTGTAGATTTACTTCGTACAGAAGAGTAAAACAAATGAGCTCTGAGTCTGAACTGTTGAGTGCCTGATACAGTACTTATGAAGCATTCTAGGAGCCGGCGCTGTGGCACAGTGGGTTAATGCCCTGGCCTGAAGCGCCAGCATCCCGTATGGGTGCTGCTTCGAGACCGGGCTGCACCACTTCCGATCCAGCTCTCTTCTATGGCATGGGAAGGCAGTAAAAGTTGGCCCAAGTCCCTGGGCCCCACTTGGGAGACCCAGAGGAGGCTCCTGGCTCCGGATCAGCGCAGCTCCAGCCATTGCAGCCAATTGGGGAATGAACCAGTGGATGGAAGACCTATCTCTGTGTGTGTGTGTGTGTGTGTGTGTGTGTGTGTCTCTCTCTCTCTGCCTCTCCTCTCTCTGTGTAACTCTGACTTTCAAATAAATAAATAAATCTTAAAAAAAATAAGTATTCTAAAAATATGATTAAATGACTACACATTTTGACTACTGATATTTTCAGTTCCTTTTCCCTATGTTTTTCTAATAACATAAGCAGCCAAACATCAATAATCCAAGTGAGATATTTTTAGCATATCTAAGAAACATATACAGCCCAAAAGAAAAGAATTAATGATACAAACATTAGGTGTTCTACCAACATGACCTCGCCAGGAACTCAAAGCTGACAAATTCTATCCAAGTAATTAGAGCGTCTAATAAAAATATTTACCCATTTTCTTCAACAAGTAACAGTAGACCAAAATCTTCAAAGAGAGAAAAAAAAGAAGAAAAGTAGAAGACCCTCATAGAATTCTATGCTCAGCAAAAATGCTTAAAACATTAAAAGTAAAATAAAAATGACATACATCAGCCATATGAAAATTGAAGGAACTCATGCGCAAGAGACTTGTACTGTATAGAATAACTTAAAAAACACTAACTCCTTAAAGAAAGCATAGAAAATGAAAAGAAGCATAGAAAAAGGTGTAAAGGACACTGGGAAAAACAGGAAATATAGGTTGGTAGATTTAAACCCAATCATACAACTGATCACATTAAATACAAACAGTCTGAAACACAAGACTGGATGAAAAAGCAAACTCCAACTAACTGCTGTGTATAAAATATTTTAAATATAAAGACACAAATAGGTTAAATGTTAAAGATTGGAGGCCGGTGCTGCGGCTCAATAGGCTAATCCTCCACCTAGAGGCGCTGGCACACAGGGTTCTAGTCCCAGTCGGGGCCCCAGATTCTGTCCCGGTTGCCCCTCTTCCAGGCCAGCTCTCTGCTGTGGCCCGGGAAGGCAGTGGAGGATGGCCCAAGTGCTTGGGCCCTGCACCCCATGGGAGACCAGGAGAAGCACCTGGCTCCTGCCTTCGGATCAGCGCAGTGCGCCGGCCGCAGCGCACCAGCCGTGGTGGCCATTGGAAGGTGAACCAACGGCAAAGGAAGACCTTCTCTCGGTCTCCTCTCTCTCCTCACTATCCACTCTGTCTAAAAAACAGTAACAACAGAATGAGTTAAAGATTGGAAAATGGGTAAGTGGTCTAACATTAACCAAAAGAAATATGTAATATCATTGGAAAAGCAGTTTTCAGAGCAAAGAATTTATGAGGAATAAAGTAAGGTTATTTCAAAGTAATAAAAGTGTCAGTTCATCAGGAGAATTTAATAGCCCTAATTAATGAACCTTCAAAATACATGAAGCAGAAACTGACAAAACAAATCCACAATTATAGTTGGAGATTTAAATATTTGTCTCTCATTAATTGTTAGAATAAATATACAAAAAATCCGTTTGGCAACAGAACTTTGAGCACTTTGAATATTTACAAAGGTAGCCCACATTTAGGATCATAACACATCTCAAAAATTATATTCTGTAGCCTAATAAAGAATCTGTTTGCTTTTTGTTCAGGATTACCTGGCATGGAGCTCCTAAAACTCATGAAATTTCCCAAAGAATAGTAATGCCTTTGCTACTGGGAATACCCAGTAGGTTCTGAGAGAGAATGCTAGTGATGTCACTCACGGCAGGCCCACAGATAGCTTGGGAGGAGAAGGAAGCTGGAGATTGAACTCAAACACAGTCAAGAGTGAATGAATCATGCCTCTATCATGAGATGGCAAGAAAAACTGCACTTCCTGATTACCTGATGTTTTGTCTTGACTTAGAGTTACATAGTTGTTGGTTATAATTACTTATTAGCATGTTCATTTATGTTTATTCACTTTCCTATATATAAATTTCACAATAGAAAGGTATTTTTAATATTGAAAATCATCTAAATTTGATTAAAGCCATAAATCTGTAGATTCAGAAAGGACCAAAAATCCCAAACATGACAGTACGAATCTATAGCTAGACATAATAGAAACAGCAAATCATTAAAGATAAAACAGTATTCTTAAAAATGGCCTATAAAGTCAGTTCTCAATCCATAGTTTTAAAGATATAATTTCAAAAAACAAAAAGTAAAAAGAATCCTATTTAGAAGGAGTATCTGAGATGCAAGCAAAAAAAGATAACCACTCCCATGAAATAAGCATTTGGGCAAATCTAAACAAATACCGACTTACATAAAATACTAACAAAATCCAATTTACAGATTAAAGAACTAGAGGAATTTGATTAGAATACTCTATTTCAACATCTCTGTTATTTGGAAAGAGGGCACAGATATTTACTATTTTTGAGATGTTTAAGAATGTTTAATTTTTAAGGGTAATCAAAAGTACTTGTGGGGCAAGTATTGTGGCATAGTGGGTTAAGCTGCCACCTGCAGCACAGGCGTCCCATAGGAGCACCAGTTTGTGTCCAGTATGCTCCACTTCCCATCCAGCTCCTTGCAAATGTGCCTGGGAAAGCAACAGAGAATGGCCCAAGTCCTTGGGCCCCTGCCACCTACGTGGGAGACCTAGAAGAAGCTCCTTGACTCCTGGCTTCAGCTTGGCCCATACATCTGGGGAATGAACCAGTGGAAGGAAAACTTCTGTGACTCTGCCTTTCAAATAAATAAAACAAATCTTTAAAACAATATATACTTGTAACAGAATATTCACATTTCACAGGGAAAATATGTAACAAATA